TAACCTCGCCGAGAAGGAGGTTGCTACTGCTACCAGATACCAGAAGAAGGCTTTCCCCAAGGGTATCCCCGAGTGTGGTGCTGATGCTCTGCGCTTCGCCCTGGTTTCTTACACTACTGGCGGTACGTCTTTCAGTATATCTTACGCAAAGGAAATCTTGCTAACAATTCTTATTTAGGTGGTGATATCGCGTTCGATATCCAGGTCATCCACGGTTACCGCCGTTTCTGTAACAAGATCTACCAGGCCACCAAGTTCGTGCTTGGCAAGTTGGGCGACAACTTCAAGCCCAAGGCTGCCCCTACCAAGACCGGCAAGGAGTCTCTGTCTGAGCGCTGGATTCTGCACAAGTTCAACCAGGCTGCCAAGGAGATGAACGAGACCCTGGAGCAGCGCGAATTCTCCCAGTCTGCTCAGATTGTCTACCAGTACTGGTACAGCCAGCTTTGCGACGTCTTCATCGAGAACTCCAAGTTCCTCCTGGCAGATGATGTCCCCGCTGAGGTGCAGGAATCTGCCAAGCAGACCCTCTACACCGCACTGGAGGGTGCTCTGACCCTCATTCACCCCATGATGCCCTTCGTCACCGAGCACCTCTGGCAGCGTCTGCCCCGCCGCGAGGGCGATGCCACGATCTCGATCATGAAGGCCAAGTACCCCGAGTACACTCCTGAGTTCGACGACGTCGAGGCTGAGACTGCCTACGAGCTGATCCTCAACACCTCCAAGGCTGTTCGGTCCATCATGGCCCAGTATGAGATCAAGACCAAGGCCGATGTCGTCATCCAGACCTACGACGCCACCAGCCACAAGACGATCGCCGACGAGCTCACCAGCATCAAGTCGCTTGGTGGCAAGAACCTGGGTGAACTCAGCGTGCTCGGCCCTGAGAACACCGTTCCCCCGTCGGGCTGCGTTGTGGCCCCCGTCAGCTCCCAGGCGGCCGTCTACCTTCGCGTGTCCAAGGAGGTGGCGCTTGAGCAGGAGCACAAGGCTAAGGCCAGTCTCGAGAAGGCGCGCGAGGTTGTTGGCCGCCAGCAGAAGCTGATCAGCGGCGCTGGATGGGAGAAGGCCAAGCCCGAGGTTCGCGAGGCCGAACAGAAGAAGCTCCGCGATGCCGAGAGCGAGGCCGCTCGATTGGAGGAGCAGATCCGCGAGTTTGAGAAGTTGCGGTTGGAGTAAATGCTCTGAGTAGATGGGCTTGGAGTAGATATTAGTGATACACATACAATTGGATTTAGACACCAATTTTACAGTTTTCTTTTCTTTTTTGTTAATCTTGATGGATGTTGTATGTGTTGTAGTGACCGCACGTGATCAGATTAAATGTGTCCCATGAGTGACGGATAGTTATGTCACACAGCTTTCTCTTAGGAAGGACACATGTATTTCCTTAACATTGAAAACGAAAGTATCAGTAGGTAAGATAGAAATAGAAGTGTCCTCAGTGGCAGGAGCATTGATGTTGGCGTGGAGACAATAAGCTTATCGATAAGCGACGCCAAGCCCCATCCGCCAAAAGTTTTTGCTCCGCCTTTTTTCATTTTCCGCAGCGAACTCCAGCATTTCTCAACCTCCTCCACTGCCCCAATCTCTTCCCATCCGCCAAGATGCTCCGAGAAGTGTACGTTGACATCATGCTCTACTGCTATAATGGATGCGGCTAATGAAAGTATTCAAATAGAAAACCCAAGAACGCGCGCACCGCGCGCATCCTCAAAGCCAAAGAGCCGCAACTAATCGAGCCCCCGAAACGGACTCTGCTCCTTCACGGATCGAAATGCCCTCAACCGCTGCACACGGTGCTGAAGACCTTCCACTCGCTGACTCGGCCTAACTCGGTTCTATTCCACAAGAAGAATGCCAACATCCACCCGTTCGAGAGCGTTGAGAGCCTGGAGTTTCTGGCCGACAAGAACGAGTGCGGTATGGTCGTGTTCGGAAGCAGCAACAAGAAGCGCCCCAACTGCGTGACGCTGGCTCGCGTGTTCAACTCCAAGATCCTCGATATGTGTGAGCTGTTGTTGTTGCCGAATCAGGATCAGACCGCTGGATTGGAGAGCCTGCAGATTGGTATCGGCATGCGGCCGATGTTGTTGTTCTCGGGCAGTGCGTGGGACGATGAGACGTCGACGGCGCATGTTATGCTGAAGAGCATGTTTGTGGATATGTTCAAGGGAGAGACGAGTGACAAGATTGATGTTGAGGGGTTGCAGTACGTGTTGATGGTTGGAGCGGAGGAGGCCACGGAGGGGTTGGCGCCTGTTGTGCACCTTCGGTGGTATAAGTTGCGGACAAAGCGCAGTGGGCATAAGCTGCCCCGTGTGGAGTTGGATGAGATTGGTCCTAAGTTTGACTTCAAGGTCGGACGTTTGCAAGAGGCGCCGAGGGAGGTCATGAAGGAGGCGATGAAGCAGGGTAAGAGGCCGAACGAGGAGATCAAGCTTAAGAAGAACATTGGGCTGGATTCGATCGGTGATAAGATCGGTCGCGTGCATCTGGGTAAGCAGGATCTTAGCGGTCTGCAGACTCGCAAGATGAAGGGTCTGAAGCGTCGTGCTGGTGTCGAGTCGGATGATGAGGAGGGTGATGCCGATATGATGGATGTGGATGAGATTTCGGAGGATGAGGGACGCAAACGGGCGAAGACGGCCTGATGTGCTTGATCACTACAGTTTATTCATTTCTTTGATGGGCATACTGTCGTCTACTATTGTCTATCTACTATCTACTATAGTCTACCTCTCTATCGGCGTTCCGGGGGTTTGGATTTCTCTCTTGACTGAGGTCAAAGCAGCTCGCTCGGACCGGTATTGTTGATATGTGATGATGTTTTAGACATGCAAAAGTTGTTATTCTTCAATATATGATCAACATATCTTCATCATTGTAACTCAGCTACTATATGTTTGTCCTATATAGAAGAAACAAGTATTCTGCTGTGTCCACGTGACATGACGTTCGGCTCTCACATGCCGAGGATCTTTGGAGCTCGTCGCGGATCTGCTTCCCTTCCTTAAATGCCGACTTTCCTTTCCTTCCCCCCACCATCATTACTTGCCATGCTCCCCTGCCACTCCCTCCCTTATGAAGCAAGCAAGCAGTGCTCCCGGCGACTGCTGCTGCATACTCTCTCTGCTCTTGGAAGCTCCCCGGACGTGAAATAATCTCCCTCATCACCCTCCGCGCTCACTCACCGGATCCGTGCCGAGGTCCGACGATCACAAGAAAGAACAAGATGGATGCTCTAATGGTGAGTAGGAAGCCGGTGGTTCATTCCAACACAGCCAGACTTTGAAGTTTAATACCAGCCTGAGATAATCATGATACTGACCGCAATACAGTCCCGTCTTGACTCGCTAGTCACAAACCCCGATCTTGCGCCCCTCTTAGCTCTCGTCAAAGGTGTGCGCAATGGCGCCGTCTACGGTGCCAAAGTGCGGTTTCCGCATGCTTTAGTGTATGCATATCATACTATATTACCCTTGTTCTTATAGCAGGTTGTATAGATCAGAGCTAATCAGTATGTGCTTCCTGTGCAGAATGATCTTCCTCTTCCGATCCGGAACGTGAGTGCCCGCATTCCTCTCTCCCTCTCTCCCCTCTTCATGTATATACCTCCCAGTCACCACCGGGCAAAACCACGTAAGCTAACAGCAACGATGACTATCCTTTCAGGATTCGGGAGAAAGTTAAACTCGTTCTAAAAGCCACCCGTCAACACGCTCGAAACCTAGCTACCTTCGCACTCATCTGGAAGGGCGTCATGCTCGCACTCCGCAACGTTAATCCCACCACTGGCGGAAAGGAAGGCAGATATGATAGTTTCATGGCTGGGTTAGTAGGAGGATACGTGGTCTTTGGAAGACACAAGACGAGCATTACGCAGCAGGTAGGTTTCCCATGGAGTCTGGGAGATAATCAAAAATTAATGGGAGTCTAGATCGTCATCTACGTCTTCGCGCGCGTTATGCTCGCAATGGCCAAACTGGCCGTTCGGCCCAACATGCACCCACTCTCGTCGTCGATTACTCCGGATGCGAGATCCAAGATGGAGAGTAATGCCTGGCCGGTATTTGCCAGTTTGACATGGGCCTTTGTCATGTATATTTTCCGGTGGCACCCGGATACACTGATGTCGAGTTTGAGGAGCAGTATGGTGTATATGTACGTTCTATTCATTCACCATAGGCCTTGCGATAGGCTAGTTAAGTGGGTATATGCTAACTCTTGCAGATACGCCGACTCCGATCACTGGGATTCGTTCCGCAATTTCTTGATACACAACAAATAGAGGTGGTGAGGTGTGTATCTGGGCTAAGCACTTTGGTTGTTATTCTTGGTTTGTTATATGCTCATTGGGTTGTCACGTTCACGGGGCGTATAGATCGGTGTCAGGGTTGGCATTGTTTTTTCCTTTTCATGTTTATGCTTAGGGTATTCTTCTCAGAAACTCAAGCCCTCCCGCTGGCGGATAGGGAGTTGGTGGTGATGGTGGTAGTGTGATGTGGTGTATATGATAAGATAGAAAGAGATACGTAACGGTGGTTGTTGAGGTATCAGACTGTCATCCAGATCATAACCCGAATACGAAGTATCTTCGATCTACAAAACAGTCTACACACCTGACAGGTAATTCTCCGAAAGAACATAATGCACGCACGTGCATAACCCTCCGATAGCACATGAAACGTTTACAACATTATCACCCCTGATACCTCCTACCCATTATCCCGTGAGTATCTCAATTTTCTCCCTCAAAAAGACAAGACTATCGACACAAACAAACCAACTCACCCCTCAGGATCACTCTACAGGTTCCAACATATATAACACCTACACTAAATCAACCTCCACACCCACCATCTCTAAACACGCCCGACTCGGCCACGCATTCTCCGTCCCCAGCATCCTGAAATACTCCACTACGCGCCACTGATCCCCTCGTCCTGTGAGGAATTGTGCTCCTGTACTCCAGCCACACATTATTAGTTCCAGACTTAATCATATTTCAACAAAATAAAGGTTAGGTATTCACCCATAGCGACACAATGAGATGCATTAATCCTGCATCCGAAGTGGTCGTTGGAGAAGGAAATCGCGCAGAGGGCGTGGACGTGTGGGAGGATGGTGGATTTAAGATGGTGGTGGTATGTTAGGGTGTTGGTCGTGTTGATGTTAGTGTGTGGTGGTGGGAAGTGCGAAGCGAGGAGGATTTTGGCTGTGTGGTAGAATTGGAGGCCGACGACTGTTATTCCATCTCATTCAGTATTGATCGTTGTTAGCTGGGTGGATATGTGGAAAGGAAGCTATCATGTAACTAGCTCTCTTCTCCATGAAGGAGTCGGGAAATGGGGGTGTGTGAGGGAAGAACATACTATGCCACGGACAAAGCAACCTAATCACCGGGAAGGAGTCCCGTTCCTGCTCCTCATAGTAATACGGTTCAAACGTATCAGGCACATTAATCCTCCAGGCATCAATAAGCTCATCTAACTGTGCCCTCGGCAACAACCCCGGACACTCACGACCAAAACAGTGATTAATAGCATGAACGAGCAGCCACGTCATCCTATTTGCCCAGTCAGCGTCTGTCTCGGGATAACTCTCGTCGAGTGGCCAGCTAGCTACGGAGAACTTGGTGCTGCAGCGGCCGAGAATGGCCATGCGGATGTCAGCCCGTACGTAGGAATAGAAGGTCGCTTGTAGGAGACCCCCCGTGCGAGTTGATGCTTGCACAGAAGGGTCGAGGTGCGCGAATGCACCTGGGACTAGGTGGCATTGGCGATCAACGTGATACTCGTCGTATTGCTCGGACATGCGGAGGATGGTGATGGTGGCGAGCACGGCTTCGTCTTGAACTGCTGAGCCTACGTCGTTGAGGATGGGGATGAGGAGGTTGATGCATGTGGATTGGTATCTGTCTTCTTCGGTTGATAGCTCGGTTCGCTCAGGGTTGAGGAGGCGGAGGATGTGGGCGGAGCAGGCCATGATGGCTGTGTGGAGTAGAGTGCATTGTAAGGATAGTCTATGGTTCAGGGGTTAGTGTTAAGTTTGCGTTAACGATGGATATGGACTGGCTGATACCGAGGAACTGTATATGTGTAATGGCGCTCGGGGCTAGTAACGTCGAGCTGTTGGAATGTCAGGATATGATCGTACTATCAGATGGGTGTGTGTACCCAGGGTCCGATGTTTTGCACGAAGAAGTGCAATAGTTCGCCCTCGGCGGTCGTCAGTGCACGAGGCGCATGTCTGTAGAATAGAGGGCACCTGGTGATTGGCGCAGTCGGCGAAGATGTGCCCGGAGTTCGTGGGAGGAATGAAATCGATGCTGCTCCTTGGGACTCGGAGGTAGGATAGCGTATGACATTATGCGGTAGGGTTCTATCGTTTACGGGGAGGGTAGCAGAGACCACCGGGTCAGCAAGGAATGGAGACGTTGATGGCACTTGACTGGTATCTGCCACTACAGGAGGAGATGCGGGGGGCTGTGTTGAGACTGGGGCGTTATTCTTATCGTTTTGGGTGAACACTTCTGCTTGAGCTACCAGGGTCGACAATCTGCTATGTCGGAAGGCGATGGCCCCAGAGCGACGTTGAGCGTAGCGACAGGAGCGATTAGACTTCGAGCAACGACCACAAACTGGTTGGACACCATCGCCTGTGAGGGATCAGCTCTATAGAGCCAGCATAAGGTCCGAGTTCATAGGGTCCTTACATCGCACCTTGCGCGATTTGCATGTCAGACTGCGTTCTCTTGGTCAGCATACATCCATGCAGTCAAGAGACAACCTACCAGGTCTTCTTGCGCATCTTTCCAGCATTCGGGAGGACGATGGCAATAAGTTTGATGGAAGGACATGCTCGGTCTTTTCTTCCTTTGCGGGGAAGTCTGGAGTAGCCCTGGCTTGCTGCAATGTTCCCGATCAGGCAACTCGGCGCCGAGAGTTGCAAGTATATCAGCTTCATCTGGACTCTGGATGCGTAGCAAGAGGCCAAGGCCAAATATTGCTTGTTGAGCTGGATCTGTCATATAGGCATCATGTACAAAGAGATCATAGTCTTGGTTTATATCTTAATCGTTCTCAGGGTCGTCCTCGCGCCAATATACACCTACCTGCGGGACCCCAAAGGCCTGAAGCGCTTCCCGGGAGTGTCAGTCGCCCCCATAACCGATCTTTGGGGAGTATTGCAGCAATACCTTCGTACGCGCACCCTTGCCGTCCACAAAGCACACCGTAAATACGGCAGCATAGTCCGAGTCGGCCCAACCAACATCTCCTTTTCAACGCCCGAAGCAATCCGTGACATTTACGGCCACGGAACACCAGCGCTGAAAGATGACTTTTACCAGACCTTCAACTCAACTCATCTCAACGTATCCGACGCTCAGGATAGAGACGTTCACAGCATCAAACGAAAGCGATTTGCCATCGCCTTCTCCCAGAAACGTATTGTAGAGCTCGAGCCTGTGGTTCAAGACCATCTGCAGCGTGTCTTCCACATACTGGACTCTGCGAACGGAAAAGAAGTGGACATGAAGCAGATAATGATGCACCTGATGTACAACCTCATCTTTGTCACCTTCTTCCATCACGACCCCCAGTTTATAGAGCGAGGCAGCACCAGTGTCCCTATCAAAACACCAGCTGGGACCCCGTACACAGGCGAGATTCATCATCTGCTCAGTAGCACCTTGCACATCTCCACAAGCCTCGGATGGGCACCACGACTCAGGTCCCTGCTCAAGCATCTAACCTGCTGGCATTCAGGCTGGAAGCACGGCACTCAGCTCCAACACATTACCACGCACTTTGTGCGCGAACGAGTAAACATGGATATTGAGCGTGTGGACGCAGGCCTCCCACCACTAGACGATCTCATGACCACGCTCCTTTGGGACAGGAACCACGAGCGCCCCCTGTGTCTGGAACTGGGCGAACTAGTGACAGAGGCCCAAAACCTCTTCAGTGCCGCCGGCGGGAACACTGAAATTGCCCTGACCAGCATCATCTGGTACCTCGCCGGCAATCCACATATAGTCCGACGTCTTCGTGCAGAACTTGCAGATGCAATCTTACCTCAAACCGATCCATCAGCCCTCATATCATACGACCTCGTCAAGAATCTTCCTTATCTCCGCGCCTGCATCGACGAAGGCCTACGTCTTCGTCCCTCTATCCGTGGTGGTCTTCCTCGCGTTGTCCCAAAAGGAGGCATGATGGTATCTGGCGAGTGGCTGGACGAAGGTACCACTGTCTCTGTATCCACGTATACTGTCCATCGTGACCCGGATATCTTCGGTGCCGATCCGGAGCGCTATATCCCTGAGCGGTGGTTGCAGCCTGACGCGCGTGACATGCAGCGTGGGTTTCTGGCTTTCTCGCAGGGAGGAAGGGGATGCTTGGGACGGAATATTGCTTATTTTCAGATGCAGTTGGTTATTGCAGCGTTGGCCTGGAGGTATGATTTCGCGTTAAGGGAAGATGGGTGGGAGTTGGAGGTGATGGAGACGTTTAGTGCGCATACGGTAAGTTTGCCTGTTGTTGTCACGAGACGGGAGTAGGTTGCGATATTTGGGTATAGAAATATAAATATTGATGATAGGGGAGATATGTTATGTGAAAGTCGTGTTTCATTGTATGGAAGTATTTGGTCTTGTGGGACAGGCAAATGTTACTATGATACCTTAAAACATACATATACAGTATGTGGAGGAAAATATCAAAGATCAGTTCATTATTGCATTAACCCTCATCCTTGACGGTGGTCTGTACATGAAAGTGGTAGTAGAAGAAATCAATCATGCCACGTCGTGCACTTCCAGGCTATACAGTCTCTCCAGACCAACTCAATCACGATGGTGGGAGATTGATGAGATGGGGGCGATGGGAGGGGATGTAGTATTGGGTGCCGTGGATGTAATACTACAAATTTTCGATAGGCTCGCTTCTGTGGTTCAGGATGCAACTATTGAATAACCAAGCTGTTTTAAACTTAGTATAAGCCATCAACTATGTACATGCGTTTGGTTTCTGCCCCATGTTCGGCTTTTTCTCAACCCGTGCTGGCAGCGCAGCTACTGCTCTCATCCTATGGTTGGCTCAGGAATGCCAGCACACGGGGTCTCCAAGGTACTCATTGGCAGCAGACTCGTAACGGTCCCATTGGCAGCAAACATCATCGCATAACCATCAGGATGGTACGCAGGCCATCCCATCGCCGGGAGCGCATTGACCGGATCCCGCATGAAAGCAAGATACAGATCCTGCCAGTGGGAGGCTACAGCGGTCTCAAAAGGCGTAGCGGGTCCGCCATACTCCGAGTACGTCCCAAACAGCAATGGAAGCTCGGAGCTGTGGTAAGCTCCTTCCCAAGGTCTAGGTGAAATGTTGCTAAAGTTGGCCGTATTGAAGTAGCGGAAGGAGAGAGAGGATGTGTTGTAGCGGAGACTATATTATTGGTAACGATCAGTATGGAGCCAAAAAAGAAAAAAAAATGGAGTAAACGCACTGCCCGTTGTAGTTTGCCGGACAGAGATGGGTGGACACAGTCTCTTCGTGGACGTAGGTCATGTTTGGACCTTGGGGCCCAGCCCAGGCAACCAGGGAGGCTTCTTCATTGGCATTTGTGCCAAAAATAGCAGGCTTGATGGTGATACAGTTAGCATAGAACGAAGTTCATAGACGATAGCTGCTTACAAGCTTAGAGTAATTTCCTGCATAAGCCCTAGCAGTGTAGTCCTCAAATTTGGTCACATTGTCCACAATAGTCGTGAACTTCAGAGTAGGACCGGTCGAGTACAAGGTGTAGTTCTCATAAAACTGAATGATAGAGTCTGCGCTAACGTTTCTCATGCAAGCCAACTCTGCTCGAGGGGAGAGATCGCCGCAGCCCATGTGCTCAGCTACAAAGGTGAAGTTCGTATGCTCAACGTCCGCACTGGAACCGGTAGCAAAGACACTGCCTGAATGCATAATCAGGCCAGACACAATGGGATCATCGGGCCAAGCGTAGTTGTAGTAGTCCGTGCTGGCTGCTCCAGAGCTCTGGCCCCAGAGGGTTATCTTGGATGCGTCTCCGCCAAAGGAAGCAATGTTATCTCGAACCCATTCAACAGCAAATCTTTGGTCAAGAAGTCCAAGGTTTAGGTTCTGCTGGATCTCTGCCAGGCCGGCAGCGTTGGGAAAGCCGAAGATATTGACCCGGTAACTAGAGTGCAAGGGATCAGTTTCAAAGCAATCAAGGCGAAACATGCATCACAAATCCCCCAAGGGTTTTCACTTTGGAGAAAAACTCACTTGATGGCAACGACAATATGAGACTGTGTCCTTTGGATCCAGTTACTCGGATCAAAACCATTCGTCAATAGTCCTCCTTCATAGAACCCGCCGCCAAACATCCAGATCAACACAGGCAATGGTTCGTCCGTGTCATTGACGGCATGCAATGGGCTCCAAACATTGAGAGTCAGGCAATCCTCTGATGTCGGTCCATACGGTTGTAGCCAAGGAGAGTCAAACGTGTACACAGACGGGTCAGTCTTAGTAGTCAATGGATACTGCGGGCAAGATGGGCCGATCTTCGTGGCATCAATGATAGCCTCTGCAGGCTTCGTCTGGGGAGGCGCAAACCGTAGCTCATTCACAGGAGGTGCTGCAAATGGAACTCCAAGAAACTGCGCAACATCTGGGGCTGAACCATTGACCATGCCATACAGTCGCCCAACAGTCGTATCAACAGTCAGACGAGATACTGCTGCAGTCGCTGCAGAAAGCTGAGCTGCAGCAACGATGAAGCCGAAGGCTTTTAACCCCATTTTTAAGCTGCAGTTTCAACTGGGGAGGTTCAATTGGGTCGATAGCAGAAAAGCAACAACCTCAACGCCATGATGAAGTGACATACGGCCATACTAATACTTCTAAGCTCTTGATAGCATGATGCTTGATGGCCTACTTTTTTCCGAAGCCGTCAAGTTAGTAGATTCTGCATTGGCCGCCAATGCGTCATTTGTGCCGTCAACTCCACATTCGCCGATGGACCACGCGCGGAGAATCCCCGAAAACTGGGGAAGGGACTTTCCAGGGTCTCCCGCATTGGTCCAAGGGGTTGATTCTAACTCTTCAAAGGAATAGTCTGGTGGGATCCCTCCAACAGACGAGCTGGCGGAGTTCAAGCCTATTTCGACTTAGTAGACACCTCGTGTCGCTGCACTCCTTTCCGTATAGCCGATGCACACCAATGTTGTGGTTGTTCAAAGGCCGTTCGGAGCTGGCGGAGCATCTTGGGGAAAAGAACAAAGCCGGCGGGAGCACTGATCGTCAATAAGGAACACATGCACGGCCTCTCGCGCCAGCTTGCTGGTAATGGCGGTAATTGCACATTTCCGTATTCCCTAATGAGTATTGCAGCGCATGTCTTCCTTGCCCATGGGTTTATGCGCCAGAAGGTGGAGACCCGAGGGCTGTCAGTAAGTCGGTGGATCGATCTTCCCCAGCACATTGCCGCATGCCTTCTACTTCTATGCCATCACTAGAGCACAGAAGAGCATTACTATAACATCTTTGAGCACCTGCGTATTTCTCTTTCAGAGACAACTGCCCCAGAATGAATGTATGAAGATGTAGCAGACCAGAAGAGCCGACCGGCAAACGGAATGCCGGGCCAAGACACAGACAAACGTAGCAAACAGCCGTGACTCAATCTTTTCGCTTTGCATCCAACTTCGCCCTTCCTCGACTCTCCAGTTGATCTTCACTAACCGGAGTCAAATCCCCGGTTTTATGGTGACAGAGAGGTCCTGATGGCGTCGACTTCCGCGAAAGAATCGAGTGGTGTTGTTCAGCAGCCAATTGAGCTGTCGACGTCGGGAACCATGAACGAGAACTATGGACCTGACCAGTGCGGTTCGGAGAATATAGTATCCAATACACAAGATCTAGAAAGGGTTCCCCCACAGGGTCTCCAGTCCGAATCTGGAACGCCTGAACCTCGCAGTAACTGGAAGATCTTTGCAACTATGCTCGCTCTTTCGGTGTGTTTTCTCTTTACCCAATAAGTCTCCAACCTGCTTATAAGAAGTAGCTTGCGCTCTTTATTTCTGCACTGGATCAGACCATTGTGGCTACTGCTACACCGACGATCTCGGCCGATCTGCATTCAGCATCCGGATATGTATGGATTGGTGGTGCTTATCTCCTCGCGAATGCCGCCAGTTCCAATATCTGGGCCAATCTGTCCGATATCTGGGGGCGGAAGCCTATCCTTCTCTCAGCCGTTGCTCTATTCTTTGTAGCATCGATCATCTGCGCCAAAGCAAATGGTATGCCCATGCTGATTACCGGCCGTGGCATACAAGGTATAGCTGGTGGTGGTCTCATCCAGCTGATCACCATCACCATTTCTGACTTGTTCAGCGTCAGGTATTATTGTCTAACAACTTCCCACCCTGGTATATAGCTGATATGGAGTCAGATTGCGCAGTCTGTTCCTCGGATTGATTGAATTCATCTGGGCAATTGCTGGCGCTTTAGGGCCGATCGTGGGTGGGGCTTTCACCCAATCTGTTTCATGGAGGTGGATTTTCTGGATCAATCTTCCCGTCTGTGGAACAGCCTTTGTGCTGCTCTATGTTTTCCTGGATATACACAATCCACGAACCCCGGTCCTGGCCGGAATCAGAGCCGTGGATTGGTGGGGGAGCTTCTCTATGCTCGCACTCATCATCCTACTACTACTGGGCCTGGACTTTGGCGGCGCCACATTCCCCTGGGGCTCCCCCAAGGTGATCTGTCTTATTGTTTTTGGCTGTCTGATGTCGTTCGCCTTCATCTACAGTGAAAAGAAGCTGGCTAAGTACCCCCTTATGCCACTTGGGGTATTCAGGAACCGGTCCAACGTCGCCTGCTTCCTGGTCGACTTCACACATGGCTTTGTACGACCTTGCACCAACCTCATCATATCATCACACTGCTAACACTTCACACCAGGCCTACCTTGGCGCAGAGTACTACCTCCCGCTCTACTTCCAATCCGCCAAAGAATCCACCCCATTCCGCTCCGGAGTTCTGATCCTCCCCTTCGTCCTAACCGAAGCAGCATTCAGTCTCTTCTCCGGCCTCCTCATCCACCGAACCGGCCGGTACCTCGAAATCATCTGGGCCGGCACCGCCCTCGTAGTCCTTGGAACGGGCCTCTTCACCAACTACAGCGCCACCTCCTCCCTCGGGAAAATAGTCGGCTACCAAATCACCGCCGGCATGGGATGCGGAATGCTCTTCTTCCCACCTCTCCTCGCCCTCCAAAGCAACATCTCCCAAGCCAACACCGCCAGCGCAACTGCCACCTTCGGCTTCATCCGCAACGTCGCAATGGCCATGTCCGTAGTCCTCGGGGGTGTTGTGTTCCAGAACAGCATGGACATGCGACAAGACGGCCTCAAGGCAGCGGGACTGTCCTCGTCGTTATTGGCTGAGTTCTCCGGCACGGAGGCGGCAGCTAATGTCAATGCTGTCCGCGCGGTCCAGGATCCGACCCAGCGACACGCTGTGGCTGATGCCTATGCGTGGAGTCTTCGTAATATGTGGATAATGTATGCTTGTCTGGCTGCTTGTGGGTTTGTTGCTAGTGCGTTTATCACTCGTCAGCATCTTAGCGAGGAGCATGTGGAGACAAAGACGGGGTTGAAGGAGAAGCAACCCGTGTCGGAACAATAGGCCGTTTTTTAGAAAAGTGCTATGTGTTTTCGTGGCTTGTTAGTCTGGTTATTATCTATCTGGCAACCAACAGCTATTGTCTTGGGATAATGTCTAAAAGTTCATGCTTTTTTCAATCTATATACCATACAAGATACTGTGTTTTTGGAAATTACAATACAAGTTCATGTACATACATACAAGAATGTTCAATCACTGCGCATTCATTGGACTAATTCTCTAGAAAACATTACACCCGAACAGTGCTATATGAATCTTCTTCTTATATATTAATATAGTGTTTGCATGATGCTTTTGCAGGCATATCTTCGTCTAAATATTTACACAATATATACAGAATTAAAACCAATAATATGATTAACCGAGCATCAACCATGCCATTAACCCTACCCATCCTCCAGCAAAAACAACTGTCACGATGCCCGCTCCCACACGGTCTCCCGTGGTAATCGTGCTTAGGATTGTCTTGTCATCGGAGCTGTCATCGGTTCCGGCCGATGGATTGCTGGTGCTGTTGCCTCCCGTGCTGGAGGTCAACGGTGCAGCCGAGGAGTTGGAGAAGGCGATCATATTCGACGAGAAGACGCTGGTAACGCTCATCTGTTCCTCGAGACCGCTCCAGCCATCCCAGGTACTGTTCCACCATCGCACACCGCAGGTATTGTTACCATAACCGGTGCAAGTTGCGGCAGCGCCCTGGGCAGATCCCTGCAGCTTGGGCAGGATTCTATCGTAGGTGGATGGAACCAGTAAGGCTGTGTAGGCGAGCCAGGCAGACACCAGGCCCTTGAAGATGATTTCGTTGTCGTTACACACCTCGGTCGGTTCGCATAGAATCTCCGTCAGGATTTCACCGCCGTGGCTTGCGGGGAAGAACTTGTTCAAGGTGCGATTCAACAGGCCATCGACAGCGTTCATCCATTTGGTGCTGGTACCGTTGGTCTGTGATAGGTTAGGAGTTGATCGTCTCTCAATGCGGTGGGTCTACCTACGTAATTGTACATGTATGCGGCTCCTCCTAGGTAGGCGCCGTAGTTATAGCTCCACTGGTTATCGCCCTGGGTGCTGCAGTCGTTTGTGGTTGACGTCGAGTCTGCGACGTTCCAGGTTGAGTTGCTCAACAGTGGCGTCGTGACCGACCAATCCCAGATGCGCTCTGCCCAGTCATAGTAGGTCTGGTTGCTGGTATAGCGCGCCAGACGAGCCGATAATTGAAACAGACCACCGTTGGAAATGGCATTCTTCATGGTATAACCGGATTCGTAGGTATAAATCTGCCACCGCATACCCCCGTTGCAGGTAGAATTATCCCAGCGGGCGACCTGGGTATTGAAAACACCCTGTGCTAAAGAAAGCCAGGAGTACCCATCGCTAGAGTCGGGAAAGTTCAGTTCAGCACCAGTCATAGCGGCCAAGCCCCAGAACATTTGATCGTCATTTCCCTGAACTCCTCAATTAGTAGGGGAAAGGGGCTGCCATAAAGCGAGGAACTCACAATGTAGCTACTCCAGTTCGCCGGCATGTAGTCACAATCGCCCGCCTGCCACTGCATGCCCTGGATGACTTCCTTGTTGTAGGTGGAATCCCCCGTGTAGTGATAGTATTGCATGAGTGTCATGAACATGGCGCCACCTTCCCACCAAGTGTTGGGGATCTTGCCCGGAATTTCGCCGGACTCGTTTCCTTTGTAGTGCTTCATCATGCCGTAGGCGGCGATTGATGCTGCATTTTTGATCGAATCTGTGAATAAAGCTGTTAGGTTCACCTGCATTTGAGTTGCGGGAAATGGGCCATGAACCATATATCAGGCCCGATTAGCAACTACAGCTTCAGAACCACCTACCCTCGCTGCTGATATCAAGACTGATACCTTGGACCCCAAGTACCGCCAGGGCCAGGACCAGCACACATCTTAGCCACTGATTCCCCGCCATTGGAAGGAAGATAACGACGGCGCAATCACAGGATATCGAAACAAGATAAGGAACGGAAATCCGAAAGCGAACAGGAGGCGAAGACTAGCGAACTGGGGAAGGCATTTCAACGCCTTTGACTGGATCGGCACTGGCGGGCAAAGAGTTCACCTTATGAGATTGAACTGGCGCCAACAAGAAAGTGACTGCCTAAGCCGGAGTCGTCACCCACCGCACCAGCGTACGTCAACCAACAAGCTGCCATTTCTTGTCCGAATAATTTTTCCATGCCTTAAGTCCGACCTCAAACCAGCTACGGCTAGCTCGAAATTCTTTTTCCGGTACCTGATGCGTCACACTATTGACCCAAGAAACACAGCAGACCAAAATCCCGATGATGGCCTGGTTTCAGTATTGTGTTTCCAGACTATCATTTGATAGCTGATGAGGACACTCATTTTGATTGCATAATTCAAGTGGGAGAATCCACTCTTTTCCAACAGAGCATTGGACAAGATCGCGCCGAGAAAGATGCCCAGACGAACTGGCATCCAAAATCTAAACTACTGACGAGTCTCTGTGGAGCCGAAGCGAAGCGCGATAACGCTTTCAGACCGGGAGATTCCACTGCCGATCCACTCCTGTGAAGTCGGTTTTACTCGTCGCTTTTTTGGCTTTCTGCCAGCCCCGATGGATCGCCCCGATTAGTCAGAGGCTTAGCCTCACGTGGCAGTCCATTAGCTGACTCAGCCGGTTCTGCACGTCCGAAGGAGCTGAAGAATCCTGGCAAAATATTAACGGGCTCAAAGCATCAATGGTAGAGCAGTTGATGGCTTCGCTATCGCTGTTGTCGGAGAAGAATCAATGTGTGTCAAGATGATAGTGGAGACCTCCAGTTTCATTCCTTCACCTGCCTTTATCAGTTGACTGACCATAAGTACTAGTACTATTCAGCTTAGGTAGTTTATCTCCAAATATATACTCAGAGCTAAACCGTGACGATGCTGTGCGTGTAGTACCCAATATCCGACACCCGTCACTCACTTGATGTGATTATCAATTGCATCGCTCTGATTTCAATTGATTGACTGTAAAAAGACTCAGTGGCATTATGAGGACATTGATGACATTGTATAAGCGAAGCCGAAGAGGTGAAGACAGACGGAAGAAAAAGAGGAAGGTAGAGGAACCCGATCACCTGACCTTATAGAGATCACTTTTGGGAGTGACAACCATTGAAACCGGGACATTCCAAAATAAATGCGGTCGTTAAATGACACTTGTTAAGCATTTAAAGGCCCGTCATCCCTTGCATTGCGACCCGCAACTCAATATGCGAGAATGCAAGTGACGGGCCCGGAAAGAGTGCTAAACTTCCGGTAAGGAGGAAGAAGTAAGTACCCAAAAATAAACAGGCCCAGAACAAGAACTGGGATGCCCAAGAACCACACATGATGTTATCAACAGTAGGAGAATCTTCTATAGCAGATAAACGTTGCTCTGATCCTCTTCTCCAACTCAATCAATCTGACGTCGGCCCCTTCCGACCGCCGATCTTAGCGCCGATAATGACGGCGACTCCCGATGCCCTCTGGGGTAGATAACAAATCATCACCCCATCACCTCAATTCATCCCTTCTCCTCTCATTCCCATTTATCAAACACTCAATCATCTATCCGGGCAGGTCCCTTAACTTCAATCCTTCTTCCAAACTGTACATTACTTTCTTTGCAAATAACCGGAAAGTTATATACTGCCAATACAACAATGCCTCCACCGACCCTCACTACCACACCACTGCTCAACCTCACCCCCGCTCCCCTCACCCCAGAGGCCTTCTCCGACTTCGGCACAGCAATAACATCCCCCTTAGCTCGCAACATCACCACTCCTCCACCAGAGAGTACCTTGAAGACGCTAACCCCCGTCCCCGTCCTCGCCAATCAATCCTCCGCTCTGAAGTACAGCCCGATCGGGCCAATGACAGATGCTTACTCAACCGCTCCGAGCGGCCAGCCCTCTTCCGCCCGCATGACTATGTTTTCGTGCTTTCCGCGCAAACTACGCACTGTCGCTCATAAGAATGTGAATGTAGTTGATGTGCGCATTCTGGAAAGACACCCCTTCACTACGCAGACTTTCACCCCAATTGATTTGTCGAGTCAGGTGAAGACGATAGGCGCGGGAGGCGAAGTGGAAGAGGAACCGTTTTATTTGGTTATTGTGGCGCCGTCGTTGAAGGGCACTACGGCTACTGCGAGGACGGATGAGGGGGAGATTGTGAGCGTGGTTGATCCGCCGGATTTGAGTCGCTTGAGGGCATTTGTCGCTAGGGGTGGTCAGGCTGTTACGTATGGGGCTGGGACGTGGCATGCGCCTATGGTGGTTATTGGGAAGAGGAGGGTGGATTTCGTGGTGGTGCAGTTTATAAATGGGGTTGGGGATGAGGATTGTCAGGAGGTGAGATTTGGGGAGGGGATCGCTGTGGAGGTTTCGGGTGAGGGGACGAAGAAGGCTTTGGCGAAGCTTTGAGAACGCTTATGGCAAGGGTTGGAGCTCTTGCGGGGGATATGGTTCATTGTACCTTCTTATCAAAATGGCTAATGTACATAGATTGTGAATGATTTATGAGGCTACTGATAGTATAGACAGCTTCACGCTCCATTCGCTGTATGTTTTGGTGCCGAATTTTCATCCCAATGTGGGCTGTCGTTGTGGTTGGCGAATCGCTGACGCACGTTCTTTGCCATTTCAATGGCCTCCCTGGGTAGTCCAGCCAACTGGGCGACTTTCAAAGCATGCGACTCGCGGTTCACACCTTTCCGTAGTCGATGAATAAATGAGAATGATCCAGAGGCGGATTCTTTGACATCGGTGCAGTATCTGCCGAGAGCGTCAAAGTCGTGGGTCATATCGGCAAGGACATGGAAGTGAGTCGCAAACAGTGTCCGGCATTTGTTGTGATAATGCAAGTGATGCAAGCATGCAAAACTAACGGCAGTTCCGTCTTCTGGCGTGGTCCCTCGCCCGACCTCATCCATGATGACAAACGAGCGTGACGTCGCTTGTTTGAGAATAGCTGCTGTTTCCAACATCTCGACCATGAATGTGGACTGGTCTCGGAACAGATCATCAGCGGCCCCAATGCGACTGAAGATCTGGTCAACCAAGCCAATCTCTGCATACGCTGCAGGGACAAATGAGCCGACCTGGGCCAGGATTGTGATCAGTGCGTTCTGTCGCAGAAAAGTGCTTTTACCTGCCATATTGGGTCCGGTCACAAGCCAGATCCGCTCTGGGCCTCCGAGAAAGCAATCGTTGCTGATAAACCGTCGCCCTTGTTCCTCGAGCCCAAGCTTGACTGTGGGATGGCGTCCGCCTACAATCTTGTGACTTTTATCTTCGTTGAGGATTGGGCGCACTAGTTGCTGTTCCTGAGCCAAAGTGGCAAACGAGCACGCGACATCTAGTTCATCCATAACGGCCGCATTGCGTCGAATCTTGACAAGGTTAAGGATAACCTCCCTACGCAGATGCTCAAAGATAACTTGTTCTTCTTGACGGATTTGGGTTTTCACTTGGTCCATCTGGCCGCCTAGTTCCGTCCAAGCAGGTAGGTAGAACGACCTCGTTGACTTAGTGGACGAGACATTCCGTGTTACTCCAAGTTCTTCCAATGATTCTTGGGTAATCCTAGCCCCCTTGACATGGCATATGTGACCCAATCCCGGAGTCCACTTGAGTGTTAACGCAGATGAGCCCACCGACTCGCGAAGACGCTGTGTTAGCTCCGATTTTGCAGTATGTAATTGCTCTAGATCGTGATGGAGTTCACTTAGAGCCGGGCTTGCATCTCGCCTCATGATCCAGGTATCGGCAATCGTCCCCTCATCCGTAGATGCGCTAGACCGATCACTGCTTTTCGTCTTGACTTTTTTTGGTAGTGCGGCCATGTCCTCTGGGATACCCTCATTCAGAGTGACAGACTGTGCTAGAAGTGCTGCCTCTGCAGCTGTGTCGTCCTCAATGCGTTGCTTCTGCAGCAGTCCTTCCTCGTCAATTGCTGTCAGTATTTTGTCAGCTAAGACTGTAGGCCCATCCATGTGGATTCGGTCGACCATAATCCCAATGCTGCGCTTGGTTTGACTGTCAGCCTCGCTATGCCACTTTCGTGATAAAACCTGTCGGATTTCCTTGGAGGCTTCAATTGCCCTCGAAAGGCAGATTAGATCATCAGGGTCACCCCGACCAAGTGTAAATTTCTGTACTAGACGTTGGGCATCATAGCTGCGTTTTAGAAACTGGATGACATTGTCATGCAGATCGCGGTCTTCGATGAATATGGAAACAAGGTCAAGCCGTTCGTTGATTACCGATAAAGAGGTGGAAGGCGATGCTGCCACAATGTTAGATTATAGAAACCAAGGGAGGTTATTAGGCATACTAAGACGGTCTCTCAGCAAACGTGCTCCACTCTTGGTAGAAGTTCGCCGCACGGCATGAAGAAGGCTTCCTTTCCCGAAGCCATCACGGGCAGTTTCCAATATTTCTAGACCTCTTAAACTATTTCGGTCGATACTCATCGACTCGTCTAAATGTCGGCGACGAGGAGGCTGAAGCTTCATATTCAAGCCTTGCAGCTGTACCCGGATGTACTCCAAGAGACTATACCCGGCGGCGACCTCTTCACGCGTAAAGGTTTCTGCGGCGGCGTCTGACACAGGGGCTTCAAGCATAGCTTCCCATCGGGCCATGGGCGCAACCTTTTTCGGAAATTGGAAGAAAGTCATTAATCGTTGATCGTGTCCAATCAATAACTGCAGCTCCTGCCCGATTACATCCTGAAGACCTTGGTCTACAAGTATCTCCCGGGCGCCAATCCTGGCGATAGCAGACGGCAGCATCTGTGCTGTAGTTACTTGCGTGAAGAAGTCGCCTGTGGACAGGTCCAACCAGGACAAGCCTACATTCTGGGACGCGGATAAAAGAACGTGCTGTTGCGAGGATGAGGCATCCTGTTGCATTAACTGCTCCTTCAGCGAAGATTTATCAATGTAGACGGCCAATAAGAAATTATTCTCGGAGGGATCCATGAACTTCTCATCGATTAATGTGCCAGGTGTGATGATTCTGGCCACTTTACGATCGAAGAGAAGACCCCCGGATCGGAGCTTGTCTTCTGCGGCATTTGGGAATTCTTCGCTGACAGCCACGTACTTGTTCAGGTCCTGAACAAGGATCTTTAGAAAACGGTCTAGCTGGAAGAAAGGAAAACCAGCCATAGGGACAGGGCCCGCACTGGTTTTCTTGGAGGCAAGCTTAAGGTTGAGCAACGGAGCGAATTCTTCAGCTTGCTCAAAATAGAGCTAAGACTAGTTAGGAGTACCCTCTGGAAGACCTAGACTTTATAGATGTAGAAGTAGCATAAAGCCGGTAGTCATACCTCGTAAAAGCCGCCTACTCTAGTCAAGATCACGCAGTTTTTGAACTTCTGCATATTGTTCCAATGTCCTTGCACGACAGCCGGATACTTGGGAGCATCGTCCACCACTTCCTGATAAGGCTGCAGCTTTAAAGCACCCTGGGGCAGATCTTTCAACTTTACAGTAGTCTTCGTTTTGGCATTTCGCCGCGACACTGAATAACAAGTTACCTTGGGCAGGAGCGTGGACGGTCGCCGGGCATGATGACATATGGTCCTGTGTACATAGCAACGATAAGGTGGGAAAATGTCAGGTCTAGCAATAAGACGAGCTTGAGAGTGACACAAATAGGACATATGTAGTCCATGAGCGCGCATCATCCCGAAAAAGCGCGTAGTCTGCGGCGCGTTGGGAGAAAGGGACTACGCAACTATACAATGTGATGGCAGGCCGAGAAGCGCGGCAGAAAAGCGGCGAGCGGGTGTATACCTCAGGCTCCCGCTCGCCAAACCTTCCCGCCTTGCCACGCAAATCTGCTTGACAAGAACTTCCCGCGACTTCTCTAACGCAACTCACTCAAACTCCTCCAATTCCTCCCAAGCAGCTTGCAACCTTGCGCCGACCCCTGTGCTTGTTTGCTGCCGGAGGATGGTCCAGGTTTGTGAAGCCTTTTAGGATCCCATACCGTCACGAAATTCATTACCCGTCGCAGGTGTCTCGACGCGCCGGCTGAACCTGAGCTCCACCGAGCCCAGTCGACACATTACCGTCGCAGCACGTTCGCTTTACCATTTGTTCTATTGTTTCTGTTATAATATACCATCAAAATGGCGGACCAGAATATTTCTCAATACAAGTACTCGGCGATGTCCAACCTGGTTCTCCAGGCGGACCGTCGTTTCATCTCTCGCGTCAACGATGAACCCACCGGAGACCCAGAGTCGCTCGCTGGTCGCATAAGTATTCGGGAGATGGGCGGGAGAATGGCGCGTGATGATGCGCCAAAGACGAAGAAGAAGACCGTCGGCCCGACGGACATTGAGCGCGGTGCGATCCGAGAGGGTGAGGATGTGCTTGCCCGTGAACAGAGGAAGACCCAACGGGGTCAACCGGCACAACTACGAGGCCAGGGGATTCTCTCTGCCGCAGATGCCCTTGTTGAGGGCCTCAAGTACCGTCCACGCACGCCTGCCACCCGAGCTACCTACGACCTTATTCTCACCATGACCGCGACCCACCTTGGCGATGTCCCCCACGAAGTGGTCCGAAGTGCCGCTGATGCAGTGCTGGAATTGCTCAAGGATGAGGAGATGAAAGACTTCGACAAGAAGAAGGAGATCGACGATCTGCTCGGAAGCTCGATGAACCCTAAGGAGTTCAATGAGCTCGTCAACCTCGGCAAGAAGATTACGGACTACGACGCGCAGGACGAAGACGAAGAGATGGGCGAAGGATTGGAAGGTGAAGGCGAAGGTGAATTGGATGAGCGCCAAGGTGTTGCCGTTGTTTTCGACGAGGAGGATGAGGACGACGAGCGCATGGGCACTGTGGACGAGATACGCGATGACGATGAACTGTCAGAGGATGAAGAGGCCGATCAACAAGAAGCTACTGGAATCGACGAGACAACCACTGAGAAGGCAGATCTTGAAGGCCTCGAGGAGGCCGAAGAGATGGTAATAGATGGTGGCGTGGGCCGGGATGCAGATCGACGAGACAAGGGATCAACGATACCTGCCCGGGAGATTGATGCCTATTGGCTTCAGCGTCAAATTGGTGCTGCATATTCTGATGCCCACATACAACACGAAAAGGCTACCCAAGCACTTGAGATTCTTGGTGGTCAGGGCGAGGACGGCGCGGAGCGGCCTCTACGTGATGTAGAAAACGACCTGATGGAATTGTTCGACTACGAGAACCCCGATCTTGTCGCCAAACTGGTCACCAATCGGGATAAGATCGTTTGGGTCACTCGCTGGCGTCGAGTGGCCGAGGATGCAGACGCCCGCCACCTGGTAGAGAGTGAGATGGTTGAAGCTGGACATCGCCAGATTCTGGACGAGATCCGGGGTAAATCGACTCGCTCTGAAGGTGCAGGTCGGCCAGAGAAGAAGATCAAGCTGGATTTGATGGATGTGGATGTTCCTAGTGCACCTCAACAAGCCGAAGAGAAGCCAACCGAGGGAGGACTGGTGAGGGGACTGCAGCCGAAGAGGCTGATTAACCTGGAAAACCTCGTCTTCCACCAGGGCAACCACTTGATGACGAACCCCAACGTTAAGCTGCCACAAGGCTCTACGAAGCGGACATTCAAGGGCTACGAGGAGATCCATGTGCCTCCTCCGCAGGCAAAGAGAGAGCCAGGCGAGAAGAACATCCCGGCCACCGAATTGCCCGAGTGGGCTCGTGTCGGCTTTGGTAGTGCGAAGGAGCTCAATCGGGTCCAGTCCAAGTGCTTCCCATCTGCATTCCATGACGATGGAAACATGCTTGTCTGTGCTCCCACAGGATCAGGCAAGACGAATGTTGCCATGCTCACCATTCTCCGCGAAATCGGAAAGAACCGCAACCCTGAAACAGGTGAGATCATGTTGGATGACTTCAAGATCATCTACATCTCTCCGTTGAAGGCGCTGGTTCAGGAGCAAGTCGGAAACCTCGGCAAGCGACTGGAGCCGTATGGCATCAAGGTTGCTGAACTCAGTGGTGATCGGCAGCTCACCAAGCAGCAAATTGCTGAAACGCAAATTATTGTGACCACCCCCGAGAAGTTTGATGTTATTACAAGAAAGGCGTCGGAAACGAGCTACACAAGGCTTGTTCGTCTTGTTGTTATCGATGAAATCCACCTTCTTCACGACGATCGTGGTCCTGTCATCGAGAGCATCGTGAGCAGAACGATTCGCAAGGTCGAACAGACCGGTGACCCTGTGCGAATTGTTGGTCTCAGTGCTACCCTTCCTAACTATCGTGATGTTGCAAGCTTTTTGCGCGTCGATCCCCTTAAGGGTCTCTTCCATTTCGACGGGTCTTATAGGCCATGCCCGCTGAAGCAGGAGTTCATTGGTGTTACCGACAAGAAGGCTATCAAGCAGTTGAAGACGATGAACGATATTTGCTATAACAAGGTGCTTGAGCAGGTAGGACAGCGGAGGAATCAGATGCTTATCTTCGTCCACTCTCGAAAGGAGACCGCCAAAACCGCCAAGTACATCAGGGACAAGGCTCTTGAAATGGAGACCATTGGTCAGATCCTGCGAAGCGATGCCGCAAGCAGAGCCATCTTGGCCGAAGAAGCCGAGACCGTGGACGATCCCTCCCTCAAAGATCTTCTGCCTTACGGCCTCGGTATTCACCATGCTGGTCTGAGTCTTGCGGACCGTGATTCAGTTCAGGCTCTCTTCAGTGATGGTAGCATCCAAGTGCTTGTGTGCACGGCAACGCTCGCCTGGGGTGTCAACCTACCTGCTCATACCGTCATTATCAAGGGTACCCAGATCTACTCCCCTGAAAAGGGTAGCTGGGTTGAACTTAGCCCTCAAGATGTTCTCCAGATGCTGGGACGAGCTGGACGACCTCAGTACGACACATTCGGTGAGGGTATTATTATTACCTCGCAGACTGAGATTCAGTACTATCTGTCGCTTATGAACCAGCAGCTGCCGATCGAGAGTCAGCTTATGAGTAAGCTTGCGGATAATATGAATGCTGAGATCGTTCTTGGCAATATTCGCACGCGCGACGAGGGTGTGGATTGGCTAGGATACACTTATCTGTTTGTCCGTATGCTTCGTTCACCCGGATTGTACAGTGTTGGCGCCGATTACGAGGAGGACGAGGCACTGGAGCAGAAGCGTGTCGATCTTGTCCACTCTGCAGCAGTCATCTTGGAGCGGGCAGGCCTTGTCAAGTACGACAAGAAGACGGGACGCCTGCAGTCGACTGAGCTTGGACGCATCGCCTCTCATTACTATATTGGCCACAACTCCATGTTGACGTACTCTCAGCACATCCAGCCCTCCATCACGCCCATCGAACTCTTCCGTATCTTCGCCTTGAGTGACGAATTTAAGTACATTCCAGTCCGTCAAGATGAAAAGCTCGAGCTTGCCAAGTTGCTGGGACGTGTGCCTGTTCCCGTCAAGGAAGGCATCGACGAGCCTCATTCGAAGATTAACGTGCTCCTGCAGGCCTATATTTCCAGACTCAAGCTTGAGGGACTGGCGCTTATGGCAGATATGGTTTATGTCACACAGTCGGCTGGACGTATTCTGCGCGCTCTGTTTGAGATTTCCCTGAAGAAGGGCTGGTCATCTGTGGCTAAGACGGCTCTTAATCTCTGTAAGATGGCTGAACGACGGATGTGGCCGACGATGACGCCGCTGCGTCAGTTCCCAACCTGTCCTAGAGACATCTTGCAGAAGGCTGAGAGAATCGATGTGCCATGGGCTAGTTATTTCGACCTTGATCCTCCTCGTATGGGCGAGCTTCTCGGTATGCCGAAGGCTGGTCGCATCGTCTGCGACCTCGTTTCCAAATTCCCCCGCTTGGAAGTCCAAGCGCAGGTACAGCCTGTCACTCGTTCTATGCTCCGGGTTGAGTTGACCATCACCCCCAACTTTGTGTGGGACGAGGCGCTCCATGGAAACGCGCAGGACTTCTGGATCTTGGTCGAGGATTGCGATGGAGAGGAAATTCTATTCCATGATCAGTTCCTTCTCCGCGGAGACATTGCGCAGTCCGAGATGAACGAGCACCTTGTCGAATTTACTGTTCCGATCACCGAACCTATGCCTCCCAACTACTTCATCTCGCTCGTTTCGGACCGTTGGATGCACTCGGAAACGAAGATTGCTGTTTCTTTCCAAAAGCTTATTCTTCCGGAGCGCTTCCCCCCGCACACTCCTCTGCTGGATATGCAACGTGCCCCAGTCAAGGCACTGAAGCGCGATGAATACCAGCAACTGTACCCTGAGTGGCAATACTTCAACAAAATCCAGACACAGACCTTCAAGTCTCTGTTCGACACGGATGACAATGTCTTTATCGGTGCTCCTACCGGCAGTGGCAAGACCGTTTGCGCAGAGCTTGCGCTGCTGCGTCATTGGACTCAGGAAGACAGTGGTAGGGCCGTTTACATTGCCCCGTTCCAGGAATTGGTTGATCAACGTCTCGCCGATTGGGAGAAGCGACTGAGCAATATCGCCGGTGGAAAGACCATTGTGAAGCTTACTGGAGAGACGACTGCCGACCTCAGGCTTTTAGAACGTGCCGATCTTGTCCTTGCCACACCTACTCAATGGGATGTCTTGTCCAGGCAGTGGCGGAAGCGTAAGAACGTCCGTGCAGTGCAGCTTTTCATCGCTGATGAGATCCAAATGCTCGGCGGTTATGGAGGATACGTGTATGAGGTGGTTGTCTCTCGTATGCACTCTATGGCGCTGGAAACTGAGAGTGGCATGCGTATTGTTGGCCTGAGCGTGCCGCTTGCCAATGCTCGCGACCTGGGTGAGTGGATCGGTGCCAACAAGCACACAATCTACAACTTCAGCCCGCATGCCCAACCGGTGCCTCTCGAGCTTCACATCCAGTCTTTCACCATTCCTCACTTCCCCTCGCTTATGCTCGCCATGGCTAGGCCAGCGTATCTTTCGATTCTTCAGCTATCCCCCGACAAGCCTGCCATTGTTTTCGTGCCTAGCCGCAAGCAGACTCGTTCGACCGCCATGGATCTCCTAGCTGCCTGCGCTACTGATGATGATGAAGACCGGTTCCTTAACGCCGATGTCAATGAGCTGGCACCCCTCCTAAGCCGTATCAATGAACGGACCCTCGCAGAGTCACTAACTCACGGCATTGGCTACTACCACGAAGCGCTCAGCCCTACCGACAAGCGCATTGTCTCTCATCTCTTCAGCATCGGTGCAATTCAAGTCCTCCTTGCCTCCAGAGATGTTTGCTGGGAGCTCAATCTCACCGCGCACCTTGTGATTGTCATGGGAACACAGTTCTTCGAAGGCCGGGAGCATCGCTATATCGACTACCCTATCAGCGAGATTCTCCAGATGTTCGGCAAGGCCTCTCGTCCCGGTGAGGATAAGATTGGCCGTGGTGTGCTTATGGTCCCAGCTGTCAAGCGGGAATACTACAAGAAGTTCCTCAACGAAGCATTGCCCGTTGAGAGTCATCTGCAAGCCTACTTGCATGACGCCTTCGTCACAGAGATCAGCACCAGGACGATTGGATCAACCCAGGATGCGATCGACTGGATGACCCACACCTATTTCTATCGCCGGCTTTTGGCTAACCCCAGCTTCTACGGTCTGACCGATGTCAGTCACGAGGGTCTCAGTACTTTCCTGTCGGAACTACTGGAGAACACTCTGAAGGAATTGTCGGATGCCAAGATCGTTGATCTGGATGAAGAGGATGACAGTGTATCGCCCTTGAACGCGGCCATGATTGGATCTTACTACAATATCTCTTTCATTACGATGCAGACCTTCCTTCTCTCCCTGTCGGCTCGCACGAAGCTCAAGGGTATCCTGGAGATTGTCACGTCAGCCACAGAATTCGAGTCGATCCAGATGCGCCGTCACGAGGACCACATCCTACGTCGCGTATACGACCGTGTGCCTGTTAAGATGTCGCAGGTCGCCTACGACTCGCCGCACTTCAAGGCCTTCGTGCTGCTGCAAGCTCACTTCTCGCGCATGCAGTTGCCGATCGATCTTGCAAAGGACCAGGAGGTCATTGTCAGCAAGGTTCTGAACCTGCTCAGCGCTTGTGTTGATGTTCTCTCTTCGGAGGGCCACCTGAACGCCATGAACGCCATGGAGATGTCCCAGATGGTTGTCCAGGCCATGTGGGACCGCGACAGCCCACTGAAGCAGATTCCTCACTTTGGCCCCGACGCTATCAAGGTGGCCAACGAGTACAAGTATGTTCCATCATCTCCTCCCTCCCATACCACCATCACTAACATTCATACCAGCATCAACGATATCTTCGAGTTCATGGAAGCCATGGATCCCTCCGAGAACAAGGACTACGCGACATTGGTCAAGCGCCTTGGCCTGGACAACAGGCAATTGGCACAAGCCGCGGCCTTCACCAACGAGAAGTATCCCAACCTCGAACTGGACTTCGAAGTCGAAGATCCAGAGGGCGTCACCTCCGGCGAGCCAAGCTACCTCAAGATCAAGATCGAGCGCGAGGTCGAAGAAGACGAAGAGCCCGACACCTCCGTGCACGCACCTTTCTACCCCAACAAGAAGATGGAGAACTGGTGGCTCGTGGTCGGAGACGAGAAGACAAAGAACCTGCTGGCTATCAAGCGTATCACTATTGGTCGCAAATTGGAGCTGCGTCTTGAATATATCGTGCCTACGCCTGGTGAGCACGAGCTGACTCTGTACTTGATGAGTGACAGTTACGTCGGTGTGGATCAGGCTCCTACGTTTACTGTTAGGGCTGCTGAGGGAATGGATGAGGATGAGGACGAGGAAGAGGAAGACGAGGAGTAGATGGCGGATGTCTGCTCTTTGGACGGTTGGGTTGGGAATTATAAATGATTTCGTTATGGTTCGCATTTCTGTATTATATGTGTAATGTGGAATAACATGAATCGTTGTTCAAATTTTGGACTCTGCTGGCGTACTATCATACCTTCTGAATCTCTGTCATGGACTTTTTACTATGCATCTACTAGTAGAATTAAATTGCCTATGATCTTTGAATTTTCCCTATCGGTTTACCTTCGAGTTAATTAACAAACTTCTATTCTACTGGTTGGGCGACACCAAGACCATCAGGTGACTCCGTAGGATTAAGAGGAAGGGCATAATCAATTCTGTTCCTTACTAAATCTGAATACAGACTAGTCTTGCATCATCACCTCTACGTAATTTACATAACTCAGTCACTATGCAGTAGCTATGTGTACATATGCGGATTACTTCACTAGAGAAACAACAGTCTCCATATACCTTAAACGTGGTCAAATGATGAAGATCGCGCTTGGCAGAAGAAGCCATATGGAGCCGGTGGGATGGATGGCTGTTGCGGACCCGAGCCGAGATGACTCGACAGACTGACATCGAGACCGGCGGGGCTTTTTCTGTCGGAGTCCTAGACGATTTTAACGTATGGTATTCCTCGGAGCCTCCATATTATCGGCCTCATTGAAGCAACATATTGCATATCCCTGCCTTTTAAGGTTAGAACACTATCTGCTGTGCATTGTCGGAGGGGAATGATTCGGCGGAAGTTAAAAGGCCGAAGCCCGAGCAAGTGTGTCCTTTACCAGTTAGGGCTGTGCTGTGGACCCGAGCCGAGAGAGCATGGGTCCTTCAATTCAGTTGTGTACGTTCGTTTCGGGCCGCCGGCGTCTTACCTACTCCGGCAACAGATCATGATGTAGGACCAGGGGCTTTGGGAGTGTTTTATTGGAAAGGGGAAAGACGGGATGGATAATGTAATGAGTATTGAGTGAAATTGACAACCGTGCCAGCGGGTTACTCAAGGCGCTTGTAGCCTTGTCAGAACTTGCTCGTAGATCCTACTGATACCCCAGTACTTCAGCGTTCTGAGGCTCAAAATGGACTCATCTAGAAATCTGGAGCGGCCTCGACCAGTCATGATATCGCCAATCCCGGGCAGCTTGATACGACCCCAGCCGGTGCTGATCCATTCAACAGCATCCAAGCCACCCCAGTCCGGCGAACGGAGGGTAATCGATGGCGCCTCAGTCGCGGGAGTAGGGTGGCCTTGGGGGGTGCAGAGTGAAGAGTATAGCCATATCACTAGGACAGCTCTGAAGAAGAAAACAGGTGTACAATAGTGCGTACAGTGATGGGATCGCACGGTTTCGAGTACCCGTGCGGCGTAGAAAAAGGCTGATCTTCCTTGATGTGACACAGCGCCCCATTCATCAGCTAATTTACCTAAGTCAAACTCGCTTAGATGTCGGCCCTTGATCTTAAGAACTGTAGGTAGTAGTGACACTTTGGGAATATTGTTGGTCATGAGGGCATAGAGAATCATGAGCCTGTGAGTCGCGCAGACTCTGAGCTCGGTGGAGCAAAGTGCCTCCTCATTCTCTGTGAGCTCCAATAGTCGTCTCAAATCTTCATTCACTTCACTTGAATCAAATGATGGGGATCCTGATAACCTTTGGTGGTTACTGACGGCATTGAGTAGAAGCTGAATAATGGCTTGCTTCCCAAGAGTGCCAGTTTTAGACCAGATAGCCGGCCAATTTCTATCAGAAGTAATATGCTCTAATGTAAGGGGTTTGTTTCGGCCTGATACGTTAGTAGTAGCCATGAGTGACGGCATATCGGAACCTACTTGTGCGTGTTGAGAAAGTAGCCCAGCCCTGTGCTGTCGTGGCTTCCCAGAGCTCTTCTGCCTGGGGTAGGGTATTCTGCATCTCATCGTCCCTTACTACAGAGGATAGATCGAAATGTGTGGAGAAAGACGTATCTGCTAGCTGCATAGCCACGTTAGATGCTATAATAGCTAATATGTCCAGGTAGGCGTGAAAAGTTATGCGGAACCACTAACCCAAATAGCGTAACCAGTGCGTCGTCTCTCTTCATCAAGGGTCCAAATTTGCCATTTTTGGGTATTTGGAAGCTCTAGCTGAAAGATCTTTTGGAGAGATACAATGCTTCTAAGTATTTGACTTCGCCGAGCCACGGTAACCGGAAGGGCTTGATACACTTCAGCGAGTTCTAGGGCCCTTCGTTCGCCAGAGTACCGCAGCCCCAGTAGGTTGAGAAGGAAGACCCGCATAAGCCACAGCTCCCGGGCATGTACATTCAGATTCTCACACTAGCGGATGAGGGTACTGTCAGCCCTGAAACAACACGCGCATAGGCTGCGGGGCCTCACTCACCAGATGCACGGACTGGCGTCGCACCAGCTCGTGCATAGCTCTTGAACAGGTCTGCGCATGTGGGAGCCCGGAGAATTGAGCACCGATGGCACTCACGACAAAGATAAGGAGCCAATGCGTGCCCGGGGTGCAGAAAGACGGCTTGTGTAGAACGGGGAAAACAGGATGGAAGTGCTCAAAGTACAGCTGCACCCAAGAATTGATCACCGGCAAGGGTGGGATTCTCAGCTCAGTAAACGGTGGAAAGGTCGGGGTTCTTTCCATGATCCGCGCAACACGATGCACTTCTTCCACAGCTGTAGCAGGCACATCGTTTACGTGGGCAAAGTTCTCTTCATCCACTTGTTCCATAGATAGGCCCTCCATATCTGGAAAGGACAACTGCGCATCGATATTGATAGCAGTCGGGTGATACCGTCTTGGTTCCATGGCTTCGTCGGTTTCCAGCGAGTGACTACGACGGTAGATTTCGGCAACTGCAGTTGGTGTCAAGGGCGGGAATGGCCTAGGTATCCTCGAGGCTGTATTCAGTGAAAAATACGAGGGCTCCGTCTCTGCTGATGCCAACCACAAATCATTCAAATCGCCATCTGATGGAGGGGTCTGCTCTAGGATATTAGATAGCACATTAGCATCGATGTCAACTCCCAAGAAACCTTCGAATCCCATCGCATCCGTAGCGAACAATGCTGATGTACTCTCGTGCGTAGCTGCTGGAATCTGGCTTGTAAGGTGGCTGCCAATTCCGAACGCCTCCGCGTTTTCCATGCTCCTAGCATTTACTGTTGGCGATATAGGCTGCAGCTGAGTCATTGTATGTATGGTTGGTGATGGTGGTAAGACAAAGTTATCTGGGAGCTGGGCTGATGCTCTTCCGTCACCTTGCTGATCCGTTGTAAGAGAAGGTTCCCAGTTCTGAGATGTAGCTGTGCCACGGTGCCGTTTTGGTTTCGAAGAGTGTGTTGTAGCAGCAGAATTGACATTGCGCTTCTGGGGCGACTGGTAGACACAGTCGGCCCCATTTCTCTGACACCTCTGACACGGGCTCTGTCCGTCACAGCGAACTTTGGACAGATTACACTGCTTGCATGCCTGTGCTACCCGGCGTCGCTCATTGGTATGCGTACTGCCATTGGGGACGATGTGTTCATGTTTTGTGCCGTGATGACGAGCAAGTGAATCTCTACAGACTGCATATTAGCTTGAATATATTCCATATATCACAAGGTAGTGAGGGCAGACACTCGACTGAATCGTTGGCCGCACTCAACACAAGCAAAGGGCTTTTCTTTAGTATGAGTGCGGATGTGGCGCTGATAGTGTTCGGGTCGGTGGAATGAAGCGTTGCAAGCTTCGCAGAGCCACTGGGTGGATTGCATGGCATCAGATTATTCTGTAAGTATGAACTGCGCAGCATCACCCGAAGAACAACTGAATCAAGCGGACTCAACTCTCAGTGTAGTTGCTGTTGCCAGGATGGAAGGGACTTGGGAGGCACGGGATTCGACCTGCTCTATCGGGCCATCGCCGCTAATCCCGAACGAGGCTCCACCCACTTACTCCATTAGTTGCAACCCCGAAGACTCGATCTAAGATCTCTTCCTTTCTCTAGAACCTCCTACGCGAATCTGGTACAGCATTACTGCGCTGTTCCTTAGACATACTCTCAAAGGATGTGGTGCTATGCAATTATTTAACAGTTCTATTCGGTACATAGGCTCAGCGGGCAGGGTCAGAGAAGGGGGACAACTATAATCACCCGAGTCTGTTTCAGTACTCTTAGAAAAGAGCCACAGTGGACTAGGCGCTCACTTGAGTAGCCTGAAGAAGCTGTTGAGCTTCTCGACCGGGGTACGAACTCCAGGTGTAGGAAAACATGTCCGGAGGCAACTCGGCATCGGGCACATAGGTCCTCAACTCGTCTAACATCTGGCCCCGGCGATCGTCGCTGACCTTGGACATCATCATCACCGTTACCGATCGCCCATAGCGTACCTTGTTGTACAGTTCTAGTCTACCCGGGATATCATCTTTGGTACATTCGGGAGTGAACAGGGCGCCTAGAGCTGCCCCGTCTTCGAAACTCTGTGCGCCGCCTTGGCCCTGGTCTAAGTCATGAGCATGATTAGCAATGGATGCAGCCACAAGCTTGTAACAATCACAAAGTAACTTACGAGGTAGGGTTGGGTGGGCTGCATCTCCAATGAGTGCTAGTTTGCCACGTATGAATGTGCGCGGCGGAGAACGAGACGCCAAGCTCCAGAGCTTCAGGTCCTCTGCCAATTTACACATCTCGCGTACTTCCGGACTGAATGCACTGCATGTTTCAAGCAACGAATCCAAGTTGCCACTGTCGAGCCAAGACGACTCTCTAGCGCTAGAGTCGGCGCCCGAAGGATGAATAGCAGCGACATTGAGCAGGTCGCCGTGACGACAAGGGTAGACAACTAGTCGCCGATCCTCCGACGCGAACACGTCCACAGCGTCCGATCCCATCTTTTCCAAAAGAGAGGCAGTAAGAGGGTTGCTTTTCATCTTGGAAACAGGGATGAGAAAGCGAAAGCAGTTCTGCCCCGTGCTTTCCTTCTGCGTAGGTCCACCGATGACACTGCTAACACACCGAGACTAGTGAAACGATTAGTATATTAGATATAGGTCCAACAAAGAGCAGCGTCCGTACATGAATGCCATCCGCCCCAATGACCAAGTCGCCAGTGAACTTGGTACCGTCCTCGAGGGTTACCACTCCAGCCTCAGGATCCTATCAATCATCTCGATTAGCAGCCTGGAGACTCTGGGTGAATTGCAATAGATAACTAACCACCGAAGCTACACGAGAACGCAGATGAATGGTAGGCTTCTTGCCATTGACCTCCTTGGCAGCCATATCCCTAAGAGTATTGTGCAAATCCACTCTGTGTGTGAGTAACCACTCATCGTAGATGCCCAGTGCTTCCTGAGCATCCTTGGTCACCTGCATGATTATTAGCCTAAACTGATGATCTTACCCCTGAATAATAGCCCCTACCACTGGTGTCCGGATAAGGTTTCCTTGGTGATCCCACAACCGCAGTTTGTTGCAATGGACGGGCTGCAGGTTCTCCAAGTTGCATCCCCAGTCCTTGAGGATGCGCGTGGCATTAGGCGCCATGTGGATTGCAGCTCCTACTTCATTCAGGAAGCCAGATTGTTCGAGGATCTGAATAGTCAGCACCACTCAGCATTGAGCGATAGTGTCGCTATTTACACACCTCAATGTCATGACCTTGTCGGTTCAATGCAATGGCTGCGCCTAGACCGGCAAGACCAGCACCAACCACTATGATCTTCAAGGGCATTTTGCACCAGCACAATTGCAGTAGAGTTTAACAGTAAGTAGGCGTACAGTTGGAAACGATCATGTAGCTATCGAGTGGAAATGCTGCTTGCTTTATGTACGTGGTTAAATTCAAGTTCTCGGCCTGACCACTCGGCATCTCTCTTCGGTCTGCCCACAGTAGCCGATCGGTCCTTGGCTGAGCATCAGATCTTTGAATGGTAGCTCCACTGGACAGGAGAACCAAGTGAGCCGGTGTTTTGCATTTGCACTATGGAGCCATGTATTATAATTGGGTCCTTAATGCTATACCGATTGTGTGGTTCGCATTTGTTCCGTGGCATTAGCTAGAAGCCGTTGTTTGCAGTTGGCCAATTCTCAGTACGATTCCAGGTGTCCTTTCTGCAGACCTGGACTAGATTGGACCCTTAATTCATGATCTGCGTCAGCTCTAGTAATTGACGAAATTAGTACTGTGCTTGTTTGTAGATTCCTTCCTCTTTTCCTTGGGCAAAGCGGTTGCAACAAAGCTCTAACAGGGCGCACGGCATCGGTAGGCTAAACACGTCTAGGTCATTAGTTTTCTGATAGTCGGAGTTTCTCCTGACAGCATCGAAGTGTAATTAGTTTCTGTGTCGTATTGTAGGCATTATGGTCACTGTTAGCACGATCCTCACAATCGAGCGGCGAGCCAGCAGGGGTTATGGAGTGCCTGAGGTCCCCACCGGGAGAACCACAGTAGGAAAGTTAGCCACTTGATTCTCCGCATTTATCGGGACCCCATATCAATCTGCATTCAATGATATAAATAAAGGTTAAATATGTTAGAATTGGGATCTACCGAACGTTGCAATCCAGGTTCAAGTAACTTTGTGGAAACAGGGACTAGCCGGAGTCCGTGGGTCAGCCGATAAGGGACGTCCCCTCACCGACCACCTCATTCCTTCTGCTGCTTCCCCTCACGGTCCCCATTCCCCATTCCTCATTCATCTCCCTGCAGCTCTCATCCCTCCTTCTTACACCTACTCGTCTGACATCCATCAGCCACGAGGAGGAACTGCGCTTGTCCATTCCTCACTGGCCCTTCGTATCAATTCTTGTTGTTCAGGAACAGTAATGACCCCCCATCTTATCACTGGTGTCGATCAGCTACTGACCTGCCGGTGAAGGTGACATGACCATCCGATCCATGAAGTTCACTCCGGAGTAAGCCATCACCAACACCAGCAGCAGAGACCACTTCATCAGTCAATTCTCACATATCACTTCTCCTACTTAAGTCAATGAAGCTGACCTGTCAGGGTTCTGCTCGGAGCCCCTAGGCGCTCCGGACCAGTTCCGAATGCCTCAGGCACCCTTGCCGTCTACACCCAGACAACTTACTCGTTTGAATCCCACTCTAAGACAAACGAGATCCGTGTTCTGGATATTGCCACTGGCCGGTCAGCCTTGATCACCAACGACGCCGGTGCCAGCTGTCCGCAGTGGCTGGGCGACAGCAATCAGCTGGTTTGGCTCAAGGCAAAGGCCAACGGCAACACCAGCTTTATTGTGGGAGATGCACATGAGGCAGACAAAACATACACGGCGGGAACCGTCCCTGGCCCCGTTTCTGACCTCAAGGTCACTGTTGTCGAGCCGGGCAAGATCGGCTTTGCTGTGACTGGTAAGGCTAACCCTGATGGGACGCTTCACAATCCGCATGACGCAAAGAAGCCAATCAGCACTGGGCGGCTCTTTACGTCGCTCTACGTGAGACATTGGGATTCGTACATCGAGCCTCAGAAGAATGCCATCTGGTATGGCTTGCTTCAGCGCGCCCCTCTGTCGCCAGCTACCAGACAAGCGGGAAAGTACTCCGTGTCGGGACTGACGAACTTGATCTCGGTGAGCGGTCTTGCGGGTGTCGAGGCTCCTATCCCACCGTTCGGAGGCACCGGTGACTTTGACATCAGCCCGTCAGCAATTGTCTTTGTGGCGAAAGATCCGGATCTCAATCCTGCCACGCACACCTCCTGCTCCTGTTATTACTGCCCTATGTTTTCATGGACCGGTGTGAACGCGTTAGAGGCTAAGGTCTGCGCGGTAAAGGGACTCGAAGGAGCCATGTCTTCCCCGATCCTCACTTCGGATGGCAGCTCGATTCTTCTTCTTGCCATGCGCGAAGACGGTTACGAGTCGGATAAGAGACGTATCTTATATGTGCCGAACCCTTGGAACGGTGAAATGATCGAGGTGTTTGCCTCTGCAGACGGAGAGGGATTGTGGGATTCCAGCCCGGCTGGCCTGACGTTATCGAATGACGACCAATCTTTGTTTATCCAGGTCGAGGAGTATGGCCGTGGAGTGCTGTATCAGCTTCCTCTCGCTGATATTCGCCATGCAACTCCAGATAAGTTGAAGAAGATCACTGATGCAGGCTATGTCACGGACGTCTATCCCGCATCTAAGAAGTCGACAAAGCTGCTCATTTCTAGCACTAGCTTGGTGGACAATAGCGTATGGTCTATTGTCGACCCCGAGTCTCCCAGCGACGTGCGCGTTATCTCCTCCATCGGTCGCAATGGTGCTGTCTTTGGACTCTCGCCCTCGCAGGTGGATGAAATCTGGTACCGGGGAGCCAACGACACTCCCGTCCATGCCTGGGTTGTGAAGCCCTCCAACTTCAAACCGGGCAAGAAATATCCGCTAGCTTACTTGATTCACGGTGGACCTCAGGGTGCCTGGTGTGACCAGTGGAGCACACGCTGGAATCCGGCGGTGTTTGCTGAACAGGGCTACGTTGTCGTTACCCCCAATCCCCGTGGTAGCACCAGTTACGGACAAAAGTTCACGGATGAGATTCGTGGCAACTACGGCAGCCTGCCATATATAGATCTCGAGAAGGGATTCGATTATATTGAGAATAACCTGGAGTACGTCGACACGTCCCGTGCTGTGGCGCTTGGTGCGTCATTTGGCGGCTACATGGTCAACTGGATCCAAGGGCACCCATTGGGCCGACGATTCAAGGCTCTGGTGACCCACGATGGAATCTTTAGCATGACATCGATGCTTTCCACCGAGGAGCTTTACTTCCCTGTGCGGGATCTCAAGGGGCCCTTGTGGAAGGTCCCTGAGAATTGGGAGCGTTGGGACCCGTCTCGGCACACCGCAAACTGGCAGACACCGCATCTGGTGATCCACAATGAGCTGGACTACCGGCTGACAATCGCGGAGGGTCTCGCTGCCTTCAACGTGTTGCAGATGCGGGGTGTCGAAAGTGCGTTTTTGACTTTCCCGGACGAGAACCACTGGGTGCTTAATCCGGAGAACTCGCTCATGTGGCACTACACCGTGCTCAACTGGATTAACAAGTATGTAGGACTGCCGCCGGCGTCGCGGGAGTTTGCAGAATTTAGCACCACGAAGCAGGCGTCGATGGAGCGACGACTCCAGCAGGTGACGTTGGATGGGGCCGCTAACTGAACACTGGCTTCTGTATAAATTAGTGGTTAATAGTATATTCAGCAAGATTGAATACGAGGTCATATGGCCATCTAGTGATGCTTTGTCGGCATTGTCCAATGCCTTTATCATGCTCTACCAGGTGTAGCTTCTGTTTCGCGCTACACATACGTAGCCAACAAGCGGGTATGGACAATGGAGCAAGATGCGACGGGAATTACCATCTCTTTATGCAACAATGCACCAACAAAGACCGGGTGAGGCTATTGTACAGAGACAAGGCACCGGCGAACCCCGTTTCAGGTTTTTATAGTACATTCTCAGGGTACATGGCAGATGCACTCAACAAAGCCGTAAAAGGATATAACTAGAAGTTGTTCCTCGAAGTACCAGTCACTCACTATCTCTAGTACTTCTAGACAGGCAACCACTGCAGACCAGCTTTTCGAAAATGAGCAAGCGTCGCATATCAGAGACTATATCACCATCATCTCCAGATCCATCACCAGTTTCAGCCCAGTCACCAGCACCAGCACCAGCACCAGCACCAGCACCAGCACCAGCACCAGCACCAGCACCAGCACCAGCACCAGCACCAGCACCAGCACCAGCACCAGCACCAGCACCAGCACCAGCACCCAAACGACGCCGAATGCGACGACAACGCCACAGCCAATACCTGTCCATTGACCCTCCATCTCCGGAGGACTACTACCCGTCCAGTCCGATCACACCTACTACCCCCGTGTCTTCTCCCATCCCTTCTACACCATCATCCCCCCCTCAACAACCATCACAATCCTCACCACCACCACCACCACGACGAACCCCCCGATATCGACACATCCTCCCCAAACCACCACCCACATCTACCTCTCCAACCAAGACCACCCCCCAACCTCAACCTCAGAAAATAACACCTAATAGTAAAATCCACCCCCACCTCCCCCTCATCCTCGCCCACTTCCGCACGCCCCTCCACCCCCTCGTCTCCAGCACCACCGGCCACCAACACCCCGATTTCCCCAGATCTTTACTCCAATATAACCTCCTCACGTCCGAGCAACTGGATAGACTCGCAGTGCACTTCCATCAGGTGGATCCGCCGGTGCGCGGCACGTTCTGGTATCCGGTGAGGATTGTGCAGCCGTGGATTAGGAGGGATGGTGGTGGTGCGAAGGGGTATGTGCGGGATGAGGAGGTGGGGTTGGAGGTGAAGAGGAGGAGGTTTGGGAGGTTTATTGGTCTTAGGGGGTGTGAGGAAATATTACCCTCTGGGTCTTTGAAGAAGAGGAGAGGGAAGGGGGTGGTGAGGGAGAAGGAGGTGGAGGAGGTTGAGGAGGGGGAGATTAGGGAGGAAGAAGAGTATGGGGAAGAAGAAGGAGGAGGAGAAACGGCAGAGGAGATGTTGGCGAGAATGGAGAGGGAGTGGTTTGAGGCGATGGTGAGGGCGAGGTATGAGGGGGAGTATGCCATGAGGTGGAAGATGGGGAGGGGGTGAATTGATTTTATCATCATTATTTATTTATCGGTTGTTATTTGTTATTTCGGGTTTATACCGGGTGGTATATGGGCTGGATCATGATATTCGTGATGGATGGGTATGTATATATGGCGTTATGGTGATACCCTTGTTATAATTAGGGAAAATTGCTAATGGCCCATTCCCCTCGTCCAATTCTCCTCCACGATTCTCCAATACTTCTCGCGACTCTGCATTCGAAACGTCTTCCCCCATTTGATCATCACCAGGAACACTGCTGCGCATACCATGCCCACGAATGCAGCGGATATAAAACAGTTCTGGTATCCGAGGTGGTTTACCCACGGTGTTATTCTATTGCAGTTAGCTTGCTGAAGATTACCAAATGGAAGGGATGGAAATACCCATAGCCCATGGCGAACGACATGGTGTTCCGAACCAATATCACACTCGCCATCGCATCCCCGCTCAGCTCCCGGTAGCTGTCGACCAGGTAGTTGACGCTCAGCGTGATGCCGCACGTGTTCGCCAACGCCAGCAGACACATCGCTACGATCAGTCCGAACCAATGCACTTGGTGCGCCGCTCCCACGCCCCAGAGCAAGAGAGATCCTGGCACGAGGATAAGGCAGATGGCAAAGGGCCACAGGCGCTGTTCGGCTTCCATGACTCCGTTGTTGCGTCGCGCGAGTCGGACCGTGAGCCAGTCGCTGAAGCGGCCGGTGAAGAGAGAGCTGTTGTTGTTAGTTGGTTTTTATGAATCGCTCGAGAATACTCCGGAAAACTCACGCTAGTAATGTACCCAGAATGCAGGATACATAGCTGAGTCCGACCATTGCAGAGCTATTCAGATTAGCAAAATGCATAGTTAGATCTGAAACAATGCAACGTACCTGAAATTATAAGGCGCGCCGCCCAAAATAATAGAAGCTGTTCCGTTCAACACATTGAACCATATAAGGTATGATCCGTACGAGAATCTGCCATGGTTAGCTTCATAAACCCATTGTTGCAGGAAGACATACCCCGCGTAGAATACCACCGGCCAGCTCAGATAGTACAATGTGTGGTAGAACCGCCGGAACATATTGTTCCTCGGCAGCCTGGGCCCTACAAGCGAGAGTTTCTGCAGATACGTCTTCCTCTGATACATCACCCCGCATTCTGTGTCACTCTGTTGTGCCACATCAGCAGGACGTTTCTCCTTGTCGCCCTGCTCGGACGTGCGCGAAGAAGCTTCCGTCGAAGTGACCTCCGCGACTGGCGCCTTCTCGCGCACGTAGTTCGTCTCTTCCATGAAGAAAAACAAGAAGACAATTGCAAAGGCGCAGAAAATGCTGGGCCAGTAGAACACCCATTGCCAGCCTTGGTACTCGGCGATGAAGCCGCAGATGACTGGTGCAAAGTAGTTGCTGCCTGCAAGGAAGAATGCATATAACGCCATGTATGTTCCCCGCTCATGGGTGAAGTACTGAAACGTCAGCTTAGTCCGATACGAGTTCAGATGGAAACTCACCACATCAGTCACGGTTACTTCTGGGAGAGCTTCAATGGGAGCCGTGAAGAACCCCGAAAGGATACTGCGCGCAATCCACTGGCCGTTGGTGTGGATATAGGGACTGCTGGGGTCAGTAATTATGCATACAGTCATGTCAGACAACGTACCCCCACACTGAGGTGCCCTGTGGAGTAATTAGTATTTATATAGAAGACTCCCAGTGAGTGCATACCAGAATGCCAACCAAAGAAAGGATGTATGTCAGACGCTTGCCATACTGCAGCGCCAGTGGCTGCCAAAACAAAAGCCCCCATCCAGCGAACAAAAACATATACCCGGTTCCCTGATTGAGAGTATCAACCGAGACACCTGTTGCTTCGGATAGCTGCGTGAGCACCGAGTAGACGACAGAGCATGCGATACCAGCAAATAACGTGTACCTGCAGGGCCCATGTTAGTCCCTGCATCCACTAGATTAACCTAATAGACACATTCTGCAGACATACACGCTCACACAGATGGTAGACAAGGTCTTCCTCCAGGGGGCCCAATTCAAGGGATCATCGGGATCATTGGACGGTTCCGGAATGAGAACGATGTCACTGTCGCCGCGATCCGCATGACGGGTGGCAAGGACATGCTCCAAGTCCACCAGCGTCACGGTGCCCGGAATAGCAGTCCGATCGAGGCCTGGGGTCATCTTGATGATACTAGATTAACCGCTCAAGTAGTTCATGGAGAGTGGAGGGTGGAGTGAAGGGAGATGAGGAGGAATGGAAGGAATGTAACGTCAAGGACAGCAGCTGGCGAGGTGGTCAAAAGGCTGTTTATCAGAAATACTCCGAAAACGATCAAATCAAATCAAGTCAAAGCGTCGGAAAAATAGCAAATATGTAATCCCCGCTGCAAGACCGAATTCCTAGCAATGCGAGAAGATAAAGAGTCCCTCCATCTAGATATCCGGTCAATAGTCCACCAGCCTAGTTACTCCGTAGTAGTTCCTGTTATCATCGTCCACCAGATAAGCAGGCGGAAGGCATTCCGTCGTGCAGCAAAAAGACCGACAACCGCTCAATTGTTGGCTCTGGGTGATCCTCAGTCCAGCTGATAACTAGAGAAGCCTTGGATCCACCTCTGCTATCTCCTCCAGCAGATCGATCCATTGATGGCAGCTGGATAAGTTGGATAACCACCCGTCCGGCATGGAACTTCCCCGCGCACCCCCCCATTTGACTCCAATCCAGATGTCATCCATCGCTAACCGGTTTAGTTGTTCAAGCGAGGCGCGGGGCTGTCGGCAAATCGTATCTCGCTGGTTGATCGGAAGAAGCCTAGGCTGCTTCATTGGTATATCAGGGAAAGACCGTTGATAGCAGATGTTACTGGTGCGTCGCTCCGACCATCCTTCTTGATGAGAATAGACTTGATGCTCACGGACTTACTCCGCTTTGGCATGTCCCCCTCCAGCACGGATCACGCTGGACAGAGCCATGGTAGTCTTCGCGCCGGCGTCGGGTGGATTCAGCTAGCTACCTTATCAGCCGTGTCAAATAATGATCTGATTGTACTTTCTCAATGAGGAACAGTTAATGGGTGCTGCTCCCACTTTTGGACCAGATTTTAGGATGATCTGATGTGTCATAAGCATTCTACGGCTGGGCCAGAACACGCCCAGATCATCGCCAAACCATGGGATGTCCCCAGATCTTATCAAACATACTAGGGATACTCCAAAACGACCACTTTTACACCTGAATAGACTCGGATAAACAAGGAGAAATCAAACTGCCGCCTGCAGCTAATATTATTCTGGTATCAAGCTCACGAATCTGGAAACCACAGCAGAGAATCTTAGATGACAATCCCAAATGACCACAGACACGGACAGGAAAGAAAAAGATAATGAGGCGATATGTGCAGATCTGGCTGGTATAATACAATCTGGCCAGGGCCAGACAACTCCGCACGTAGTTCAACCGACAGGGACAATCCCTCCAGCTGACTCACGACAGGACTCGAAAGAGGTAGACACTGAAGGCCCACTAGCTTGAACCACTGGCAATGTCATCCTCCTCGGGAAGGTCCTTGATAACGTCCTTCAGGATTTGAATCAGCTCATCAATATCAGGCCGGTCTGCAGGCTCCACCTGCAGGCACTTGCGGACCACCTCCTTTACGGGCGCACTGATCTGCATCGTATTATCTTTGCGGCTATCATCGCCACCGGCCTTGCCCTTGCCCTTGGTAGCACTCGATTTCTCGTCGGGGAACCGCCAATCACCACCCAACACACACATGCTCAAGCTGCCACCTGTCTCTTCGCTGCGGGCTTCAAAGGGGCTCTTGCCCACTAGACAGGCGTAGAGCGTACATCCTAATGACCAGATATCCACCTTTGTGTCGATGATCGAACCCGTCTTGACATCGAAGAGTTCGGGTGCCCGATACGGCATCGTGCTGTGTTCCGCAGCGGTGTCTTGGACGGCCAGGGCGAGCGACCGGGAGGTGATGGCAATGGGGCTGGGCGCTAGCGATCCGAGATCCATGAGGATGGGTGTACGCCCATCATCAGCGATCATGATGTTTCCTGAAAGCAAGCATTAGCGGAAAATCGCTTCAATAGGGAGCAGCAGCCGTACCGGGCTTAATATCCCGGTGGGCATACGGGCGAAGATCGCCGTCTTGCACGCCCTCCTGACTTATTGTGACCTCATCATCCATCAATGGCTCATTCTCCTCTTCTTCATCCACATTCTGGCTGGTGCGTCGCTTCGGTTTCGGCATCCGCATAGCTGTGTCCGCGTCTGCCTCTGCACCCTCTCTCCTCACAGCTTTAGCCTTGCGTGTAGGACCCGTACCACTTTTCACACGGTACAGGTGCATCGCTCGGAGCGCATTGGCAACTCCGAGCATTAGCACCATCAAACGCTTCTCCGGGAAGCGGGAATGGTTGACGAGGTTCGCATTGATGGCATCTTGGAGGTTGCCCCGTTGGTAGTATGGTAGGAGGATGTAGACCGTCTTCGACCCTGCATCGCCGCCATCGGCGCGGAATTTCGACCCGGATTCGGTGGATACACAATGGTCAATGGAATGAATGATGTTGTTCTGCGTGGTGAACAGATTGTAGGCCTCCACTTCCTTCAACGCCTGTGAAACGGACTCCTGACCGAAGGGACACCGGATCTTCTTCAGCGCAAACAGTTCCGAGGTCGATTTGTCTTGAACGAGGTAGACATAGGAGAAACCACCCTAGCATGATGCGTTGATCGTCAGCATCGCGCATTCGCGGGTGTTTTGTAGTGAACCATAAGTCAGAAGCAATCATACTTCACCGAGGAGTCGGAGCAATTTGAAGCTACGATTGTTGATCTTTAATTGCAGCGTGCTGGGAAAACAGCACATGCAATCGGTGAAGTTGTAGAGAAGATCAAAGAAATATTGCGCCATGGTGGATGAAGGAGCACACCAGTGCAGGGAAAGCTGTTCACAAAGCAGCTACAGGAAGCTGATTATTGAGCCGCGATAGCTGTAGGGACGGGGTCCCCGTGGCGACTAGGAGGTGACTACGCGGCACTATCGTTCTGACGGCTGGGATCCACCCCGGCGTTGGCGCAGGCGCACAGGCAGGCAGAAGAAGCCGGCGGAGCAAGGGAGAGGGGAAGAGCAAATGATCTGAGGCCCTTGAGCGGATGGAATGTACAAAGTAAGGTCCAGCGGAGAAAGGGAATGAGAGTGAATTGGGGAGGTTGAGGGATAAGAGAAGAGTGTAAACCGAGAAGATGAATACTTTAGAAGCCGCGTGTTCAGACCGGAGTCGATATCCGTGGACTGGATTGAGGCGGAGTTAGTGAGTGAGTGAGTGGATGCAACGAGAGCCAGTCGATGATGTGGTGAGATTGAGAACCTGAGGCAGGGAAAGGCACCCACTAGTTATGCGTTAGTCAGCCCGCCAAGGAAGCTGGTGGTAACTTACATGCTGTGTGGGCAGTACATACCAGTATATACTGATACCAAATACTTCTAATGCACCCTTGTACATATTGAATATTTCTGTAAGGTAAAGTACATAACAGCCACTCGGGTCGGTGGGGCAGGCCATCCGCCGAAAGAAGCAACCCATGGTTCGTGTGTTTATTGTGGCCGAGGCCGCTGCGATGCGAAGATGGAAGAATAATTGGTCTTCGATGGTCAACTGTGACCAACTAGACGGTGTGAAAGGGTCCCCTGTCCCTGCTAGCATGACGACACAGTACTGGCCGTTCAAGCTTAGCGATTGTTTTGCCTCTGTATTTCACTCCTGGAGGCAGTGACTGACTGAACAATTCAGTCTCTCTCTCTATTGCTATCCACCGGACGGATTGGCTCTTTCTCTTTTCCGTCCTTCGCTGCCCAACTGAGGCAAACGCTGGACGGCATAAGGAAACAAACCCTCCGAGCCTCTCCTCCTCGCAGCTGAACCCAGCATCCAGCAAACACCATGACGACTGGCCTATGATCAGTCACCTCTCCAACCTCCCCTACTACTACTTCTGCAACCACCCCTTTCTAAACGCATTCCTTGAATCCGTCCGTCGCAGTTTTCTAAAAGCCCTCCCCCTCCTTCGTGCGGTATAAGTCGACCTCATTTCCACCACCCCCTCTATTCAGCGCACCACCAGTCGTCCCATCCCCCCATCGCTATGGCACCCCTCGACGACGTCCAGGTGGGTGACCTGGTCAATGTCCCTGGGGGTATGTTTGGGACTGTCAAATATCTGGGAAGTGTTGCGGGCAAGCCAGGAAAGTTTGCAGGCATTGAGCTAGCGCCGGAGCATGCCAGACGAGGGAAAAACAATGGAGATGTCGAGGGCAGGAGATACTTCTCTACATCCGTCCCCGGCTCAGGGATCTTTGTGCCCATGAACAACAACAAATACGTCACCAAGCGCTCGTCCGGTCCGACCTCGACGGTGAGCACCGGCCCTCCAACCCCCTCCCGACCGGTCAATTTCAGCAAGTCCGTTGGCCCTGGTCCCGCAATGCGCCCACCACGCGTCCGACGCCCTTCCCTTCCCCGCCCTGAATCTCCTAGAGGACCACCGCCGTCCAAGCTCACCTTGACCGGGCTTCGCACGCCCTCTTCGGCCTCCCGCGCGGCCCCCTCCAGCACCTACCCACGCAGTCCTATCAAAGCCCCGTCGCGCGCCTCTGATCGCCCTCCCTCGCGGGTCAGCCGAGTGAGCACTGAGGATGATGGCCCCGCATCTAGAGTATCCGAAGTACAGCAATCGGCAATGGCAGCAGAGGTGCAAGAGCTGAAGGATCACATCAAGAGCCTAGAGAACCAACTCCTCGACCGAGATAAGCAGCTGGACGAGCAAGCACATACCCTGTCCGACTTCCAGAGAACCCTGGAGGAGCTGGAAGGGTCAGATTCGCTTTCCATCCGGGCTCAGTTGCGTGAAAGGAACGAGAGGATTGCTCAGTTGACGGCTGAGTTTGACTTGCACCGCGCCGATTTCAGAAGCACCTTGGATACGTTGGAGATCGCTGCTTCCGAGACGGAGCGAGTCTATGAGCAGCGGCTGGACGAATTGATGCAACAAAATCGAGAGCTTCAGGACCGCGGAGAGGATGTCGAGGCTGTTGCGCGACAGCTTAAGCAATTGGAAGAATTGGTCTCGGAGCTAGAAGAGGGTCTGGAGGACGCCCGGCGCGGTGAGGCTGAAGCTAGGGCGGAAGTTGAATTCTTGCGCGGAGAAGTCGAGCGGACAAAGCTCGAGCTACAGAAGGAGCGGGATTCCAAGGACTCCCACGTAGCTGGGGATGGGCCCCACTACTCGAAAGAACTGGAGCAGAAGGATGATGAAATCCGTGGCCTAAAAGCAATTATCCACTCCTTGAGCCGGGGCGACCCAGATTTGCATGCACTGCAACAGAATGGATTTGGGACGAGCCCGCCGAACCATGATCCCGACCATGTGGCTCATTTAGAACAACGTGTCGAGGAATTTGAGCGCATCTCCGAACGGAAGACATACCGTATCGAAGAACTAGAACGCGAGCTCCAGCAGTTGCAACTGAATGGTGACGCTCACGCCCACGCTCCCGGCTCCGCGGTCTCTTCATCGCCCAACCATCAAAAGTCTCCCAGTGTCAATGGGAAGCTTACGAACGGCCATGGAATCAACCATGCGCATCGGCTTTCGGATCGCACAGTCGTTCCCAACGACTGGCAAGATTTACCTCCGCATGAGGGGCAATATCAGGCCTACTCTACCCGCCACCGCGGTATTTCGGATGCTTCTCATCATCGTCTGGAGACCATGCACGAGTCAGACGGCCGCTCAGAGGACGGCGGCTCACTGTGGTGCGAGATCTGTGAGACCGGAGGGCACGATATCCTGACCTGCACCAACATGTTCGGCGCGGAGAGTAAGAAGGCCCCCGATGCTACTGAGGCACCCCATGACGACAGCTCTGTGGATGAAAAGCCAACTCCAGAGGAATCCATGGGTGAACCATCTACATCCTCACATGAAGAGGACGCGACTCCTCAGAAGACGGGTCGTGATGTTGTGATGGAGGGACTCAGAGGAGCGAACCTGTCGTCTTCTTCCTCAACCATGGGCCCTGTTGGCGGAAAGGAAAGCGGCGTCGTTGACGAGTCTAAGTGGTGTGCTCTCTGTGAGAGAGACGGCCACGAGAGCATCGACTGTCCATTTGATGATTGATGGAAGCGGAATGCTGATGCATGAGATTCATGGCAGCTTAATTACCAGATGGTCATGAGGCTACGTGCACCGATGATTGAGATGCGTGTCCCATATGTTGGCTTAGTGGACTTGTCATTTCTGGTATTCTTCTGTTCAAGGCGCCCTATGTCTAAACACATTTTCAGGATATCCTTCTTTTTGTTCTTTCACAGACAGCATGATCATGTTGGCATTTTCTGGTCTTTTTTTCTACCTTGGCTGTATGAAACCATAGCGCGCTTTGCAGGGGTTGCGTTTATTCAAAGCGGCTGCATTACATTCCTGTGCCACTACCTACTAGCCTTTTTCTTATTTCTGTCACATTCTTTAGACTGTCTTACTTTCCTGTTTTGGTCACAGCGGCTTCTTGGCTATCGTGGCTGTTTTCTATCTTTCATATTCCCCTGTCCAGAACTGTGCCTGATACCTCTTTAATTATACATCCGAATCAGAATCCACTATCCAAGTATACGCTGCCTTGGCAGACACAGTCTAGCATCGTACCAGAATCTCTAGCCGGTCAAGATCTTATTGAAATTGTGGAAGCAAAATAGAAAACAATTTTACACAGCTACTATTACATCCAACCAACCAACCGCATACATCACCAATAGGGTATCTCTCCACCACAACACCACCCACCAAACAGCAACCTACTCAACAAACAACCCCCAAAGAAGCACTAAGACTAAGGCTGCACCACCTCCCCCTCCTCATACTTCGACCTCGCCACAACCCCACAAGCCTTACACGTCCTCTTCTCCTCATCGCCCGCAAACTCCTCCACAACCTGCTTAACCTGCGTCCCCAAATCCGTACAAACAAACCTCTTCTCCCACACCACCTTCCCGCAATCCTTATTCCGACAATACCATCTCATCGCATCCACCGCCCCCTCCTTCCTCGGCTGCTCCATCACTACACCCACCGTATCCTTGAATCTTACGGGACAGTGCGGCGTATTCGCCGGCAGCAGGAACAATGATCCCTCGTGGATCGGAATGTCCTGGAAGGTGGGCGGGGTGGTGGATTCATCGACGGTGCGGAGGAGCATGGAGCCTTTATATTGGTAGAAGAATTCCGGGGTCGTGTTGATGTGGTAGTCTGTTCGGGCGTTGGGGCCGCCGACTATCATTACTGTGTAGCCTTGCGTGGCGGGGGAGGAGGGGTGGTAGACGCAGTAGTTGTTTACCGGGGGTTGGAGGAGGTGGGAGTTGGTTTCCAGCCTATTTCTGTCAAGTTAGCGCTGTGTATATGTATATCGGGGAGTGGGTGTTTTGTGTCGCGTGTGTTTTGTTTCTAGAAAGTAATGCGGGGGAGGGGCAGTAGTAGTAGTTTGTAGTGGCGATGTGGAGGTGGACTACTGTACCATTTGGGGATGTTGAGAGCTGGTGGAAGCATGGTGACGATCTGCTTTGCCCGTTTGTATAGTAGTGTAGGTTGATTAAGTGAAAATCTGGAGCAAACCCAAGATAATCGAAGAAAACAAGTGATTATAAATGCAGTGATGTTCAACCCAACCCATCCCATCTATCCGGTGAAGGGTCCTTATCCGTCCCGGAGATAACCGCGGATTAACGCCGCGCTCGGCGCCGGAACAACTCCGCCCCGGCAGATTTTCTCGATTCGCTTTTTGCGGTCCAGGCGAGCATCTGGCGCCGACGAAGATTTTCGATTTACAGATTGTTGATTGACCACGGGGATTTCGCAGAGTCTCCAGTACAGCTACAATGGCGTCAATATCTCAACCCCCTCTTCGGTTCACTTCTCACAAGAACTTCGTGTACCGTCTCGTCTTCGCTACGTTGACCGGCCGCACGATTCAAATCTCCCAGATCCGTCCTTCGTCGCCTACGAATCCCGGTCTCGCTCCTCATGAAATCTCGTTCCTTCGTCTTCTGGAGTCCATTACCAATGGCTCCCAGATGGAGATCTCGTACACCGGTACTATCCTTGTTTACAAGCCCGGCCTCATTACAGGCAGTTCGCCAGGTGTGGCCACGAGCAGCGGAGGCGTCATCCGGCACGAGCTCCCAGCAGGGTGCAATCGTGGCGTGAGTTATTATCTGCTGCCGCTCTGCCTTTTGGCACCCTTTTCCAAGGCTCCCATCAAGGTCCTCTTTACTGGTCCAGGTGTGATTACCTCGTCCACCCCGACTGGTGACATGTCCGTGGACAGTGTGCGAACCGCCATTCTCCCTCTCTACAACCAATTTGGAATCTTTAACAACATTGAGCTGCGTATCCTACGGCGATCGAACCCTGGACCCAATGGCAGAGGCGGTGGTGGAGAAGTTCAGCTAGTCTTTGGCCACCAGCTCCGGCTGCCGAAGACCCTGCACCTCATGAACGCCGGTCGCATCAAGAAGGTCCGCGGTGTGGCCTACTCTGTCGGTGTTTCCGCATCCAATAACGCACGAATGATCGAAACCGCCCGTGGTGTTCTGAACCCACTCGTCCCTGACACCTATGTCTTCTCTGATGTGTCGTCGGCGCCGCTCGTACCTGCCCCCGAGAAGAGCAACCCTTCCGCGAAAAAGAAGATTGGCCTTGGATTTGGACTCTCGTTGGTTGCAGAGTCATCTACTGGCTGCCTGTTCTCCGCCGATGTGGCGTCGCCTCCCGCAGGCGGCGAGGCGCCTGAAGACATCGGGAAGCGATGTGCTTACCAGCTACTTGAGGCCGTTTCGAAGGGAGGTTGCGTTGCCCCTGCAGCTGTTCCGACCATGCTGGGTCTGATGACGATGGGATCGGAGGATGTTGGGCGAATCCAGGTTGGTCGGGAGGTGATCGCCGAGGAGAGCACCATCCAGCTGGCCAGGGACCTGACCAAGTTCGGTGCTCCGGGTTGGGGTCTGAGAGACGCGAGTGGTGAGAATGAGAATGGGGATGTGATCATCAGCGTGGTTGGCCGCGGCATTGGCAACGTTGGCCGTAAGGTTGCTTGATTGTGAAGACCCAACATCAGCCTCACATCAACTCCGCGGTCGGCTGTTTCAGGTATTACCGACCTTTTTCTGGTCGGTGGTCTGTCCAGTGGAGCTTCAAGGGCCCTGTCACAGCGTTGTTTCAGAGTATGGCCAGTTTGCATCTGATTGCCCAATGTGAGCGCCGGGTACTGCCCCTGGCGACAGCGGTGTATCACGTAGGCGCAAGGGAAGGGCAAGGTTTCATCTCCACTGAGGGGAAGACCGCAGACCACGTCATTTCTAATAAAAGCTGCATTTCGTCTTCGACCTCCGACTTTCACCTTCTTTATCGCCAAGTTGCGTCGCTAACTTGGGTCATGTGCCACGTGGCTGAGATTGGCGCCCAGCCGACAGCTGTTCGCCGCACACCGCAGCCCGGATCTTGGCCTGTTCGATTCCCATCTCCTGGGAGGGCAATCTGACGCTTCGGACTGGCAAGTGGGTGCTCTCGTGAGGCACTTTGTTGTTCATATTTCCGTGATACCCTTTATTTGTTTGGTATGTGGGCTTCCACCTCACCGCTGGGAGCCACTCGAAGATGGAATGGGATTGGTAGTTCGAAGTAGGGTTTGCTGGCTGCGGCCTAACCGACGTGCTTCATGCAGCAAGTTTAAGTTTCTAAGACGAGAATGGATCGTCGTTCCTGTACATAGAAATAGCTTGAATATAAGATGCTCGGCTCCGTCCTGATTTCTTCCCCGACTTTAGTACTCTCTACATGTGTATTGCTTCTGCTATCCACACCGTCGCCTTCTCACCCGCCTCATTAGGGAACATAGCTCGCCTACGAATCGGAGACTTTGCCATTACGTTCACCAGGACAGTCGATGTCCGTATGCCCGTGACCACGCCGTCGACATGGATTGCGATACCCGATGCTTCGACTTGACGCTCGTCTTTCCGATTCTCCTTAAGCTGACACCAGATCGATCGTTTGTTTAGCGATGCTGTTCGAAAGGCAGTCGACTTTGCGAGAAACTGATACCAGATGGATTGTTCGACCCTGACCGCGCTCTCTCGTCCGTGAGGCGTCATCCCGGCTTGGATGCGTTTGCCTGCCTCAATGCAGCTCGATCCTTCCCGAAGAGGAAGTCGCAGTTCTGCATCTGCTCCTTCCCTGCCGGTGTCTGTATGCCCGTCTTCGGCCTAGTCTCGCTGGCGATATTGACGGCCTTCCCCTCCCCCTTCTTTCTTTTCCTCTCTCTTCCCTTCTGTCCTTCTCTCTTCCCTCTCTCTCTCACTCTCTTCCTTCACCTTCAACCTTCCTTGCTCTTGCTAACCTGCTTGACTGCCATCTCCTTACAGGTATTCCTCGCCCTCGTTCCTTCCTGTCTCTGCTTCGAGCGAATTTTGAAGATGTTGCTTGGGTAAGTGCTCGTTCAGGTCTGGTTGGGCTGACCGCCGTCTAGGCTCTTTTGGTGGGCATACCGAGGGATTTGACCTTGCCTAGCATGGGTTCATCAGAGCTTCTCTGGTGGTGCTTGTGTGATGGCAAGGCTGTTAGCTACTAACTGAACAATAAACCAGGGATAGTTGTGTAACACCTCCTTTCTGAGCATAAGCCGCCCCGTGGGCAGGCCCAGTAAGTGACAGAGCTTGTGAGTCACAACCAGATGCCTTGCTGCTTCTTATACTGACAGTCACTAGGCTGGCTAAAAACACTCAGCCCACCACGCAGGCCAGCTCCAAAAGGGAAATGCTCTGGTCAGTCCTCTGCTCTTGTTATCATGCTTTTCTAACGTAAACTTAGTGCCTTCCACCCATCCTTTTTCTCCTCCCATTCCCTGGCCACCATCGGCCCTTCCTCCTCTCCCATCTGTCCTCCTGCTCTGACGCCTGGCGCTGCGACCATGCCCAGTAAGTGACAGAACTTGTATGTCGTACCTCGTCAGCAGGCTGGGTACAGAACTGACGTTTGTAGGCTGGATCAAAATCGTCCGCACGTCAGGCTAGTCTTCATTGTGGATATGTCAGTACCCTTCGTTATATTGAAAAACAGACACTGACTGCTCTAGTAGCCTAGCACCGACCTGCCCGCCATTTATATCTGTCAACCTCTCTTATATGGCTAAGGCGAGGCAGTCATCGAGCGATGGGATATCCCGATTGATATCCATAAAAGCACTCAACCATACGCAGGATAACCGGACATGAGCGAGTAACTGCACAGTGGCAGGTCCAGTAAGTGACAGAGCTTGTAAGTAATTCTGCCGCTTATTCACGACTGGTACTAACGGCTCTCCAGGCTGGTTAATATATATTTGCCACCCCGCGGTGAAGCGCGGAGAGTTAGCCGATAGGTAAACTGACCAAGACGGGCTTCTTTACATTGTACTAACCACCTCATAGGGAGACTGATGGTGGTCGGAGATCATATATAGATTTTCACTGTTCATGGGTGTTCCTTTGTCATGGTTGACAGTTCTGTATCGTCCTGGCCAAGGTTTTTACCCTACGGGGAGTTTTCCTTGACTGTAACCCAAATGGGAGGATAGAAGTCAATATATCGATTCATAACATGTTTCCATACTCCATACTAGCGTAGCATTATTCGTACTAGCATGGTCCTCAGCGAACCTCCCGTAGCCTCAGTCTTGTTCAGCTACGTTGCAGTATTGACTTTTACTCTGTCTGCAACATTCATGTGTTTATCTCTGCGAGTTTGAGGGAATTGACCGAATTAAGGGCCACCCCTGCTGCGGACAGTGAAGCACTGCATAGCCCGTATGAATTTTAAAGCATGAGGAATGATAGGATCAAAGAATGTGAATACAACTTGAAGTAAACAGCATGAGAAGCAATGAATATAGATAGCATTGAATTGACAAAAATTACATTGTCCAACCACGCCTCCAAATATAAATTTAGCCCAATTCTTACTCGAACTAGGGAACTTGCCATCTTCAATACCACTACCGAATTGGAGAAGTCGCCATATTTCTGGAAACCTCCATACACACATAGATTGACTTAGTAATAGAGAAGAGCAAGAAGTCAAAACTTGAGATATAATATCCATACCAATGATAGAACGATATGGAAAGTTCGGAATCAAGCCTGATGGGGCTCCAGGAACAAGCTATGTTACTACCATACTGAACTGAACACAGGAGGACTGAGACACTAGTACTCAGAGGGGCAGCGAAGATGCGAGCTATATTCCCCATCCTCCGTGACCAAGTATTAAGAGACCCCTCAGAAAGGGATAAACATCGTTGCATCATACAACGCAACTTGAGACGACATAATTGAGGTTGCATAGTATATTTTCCTGATCACACCATTACAGGAGGGAAAAGCAAGGGGGGAAACGGGCTACTGCTACCGGAACATATCCACCATTCTGGGATAATTAATATGCGAGGGTCTGATGATTCTTTCCGATGATTCTTGGGGTAGCGTCTGGCAGGTAGTCTGGCAAAGCCAGATACTCACGACAAATAATAAACACTTATCGTACAATAGCATAAAGAACCTCATGTGTCTCAATGTCGACATATACCAGTGCACATGGAACGAGGATTGTTTTGCACTGCACCCGATAGGGTACAATAACAGAGATACTACCAGTACAACTCTAAAGCTGGAATTCATTTGGCAAGCTCTACTAAATGAAAGCATAGACGAACATGTTCGAATCAACAGTCCTGTAATTAGCTCAAGGGACCTATCATGCTTCGGTGTTATATACTTCGTCAGAAGTCTTCGGACTGGGGACAGCCTAAGGCAATGAGAAACCAGCGACGAACTAGTAGCCTTGACAACATCAGACCCTGTCAACCTACCCCTCCCAAGTTGGCACCTCTCAGATATGGCCTTCGTTCTTTCCAGGATAGTGAACTTGAGTGGAGCCGGGTACATTGCGGAGCTTCTTGAGAATGATTCAGACGACGGTAGTGACGGATACGATCTCTCCCATTGGCTCCAGGGTGCCAGAATGGCTAGAGCATACAGTAGTGAAGTGGAGGATAATGAAGAGTCAAACGATGAGGCCGAAAGTGACATCTCTCGGAACCAAGCATCGCCGGAAATCAACATCGACCCAACCATCGCCCTTGAAGATCCGCACCGCTACTATCTATGGGAGCCAAATGATCCTGACGAAGCGGGAACAAGCAATTTTCCAGCGAGATGATGACGAGTAACGATAGAAGTCCAGCACAAAAGGGGACGCAATGTGTGGGTTGATATGGTCTGTCGTGTCCGAAGGACAATATGCCTTCTTTATCTGCCCTTGATTTTTCATGATATTATTGCTGCTTTGGTACTGATCCTCGACGAGCCGCCGTTGCATGACTTAGCAGGCCGAATCTGCAGGATAGGCCTGCTTTCTCTATCTCTTCTCCTTTTATTAATTTAGCAAAGTTTATTTTTACTTAATCGAAGCCCCATATCATAGCTACCATAGTTTTTGCGCAAAGGTGAAAAGCCAGCCATGCCTCGAAATAAACATAAGACAATTGAGATTTCTGGGTAGATGATCTTCGTTGGGATGACCTACATAACTAGATACAGAAGCTCAAGGTAGACTAACTACTTCCACATGTGGTTAATATTATTATAGTCCCAGTACTGGTTAAAGCTCTTGATAGCTGGTCGCAGTTTGATAGCAGAGTAAATCATGAAAAAGATCAAGTTCCATCGGATTTTGCAGTCAAGAGAGAGATAGTGTACTGAGACAGACTCCAGTCGTTGAGTACGCTGAAGCTTCTCTCCCGATGTTAGCCATGAGGTCTAACAGAGATGCTTACTAGTATGTATATCACATTTCGGCAGTAATTCGCGAGAAAAGCGAATTATTGTCTGTTTACCTACGTGGGAGCATGAACCGAACCCATGTTTCTAACATCAATCAATCAATATATAACTTCGAATTTATGTTAGGCTTTTGATACAAATAAACCAACTCATAAATTGAGTTGGATAACACATGCAGTTTGATTCTAGGATTCATTCCAGCTAAACAGTCGCGATAATTAAGTATAGCATGTTCCATCATAACCATGCAAAACCACCAGCACATAATTGTGAGAAGCGTTGACAAGACAAGGAAGCGCCATGCTATACAGACATAATGATCCATGGAGTACTGGGGATTGAAAGGATAGCATCTCATAAGAGAGAGCTTAAACAAGGATTAAGGCACATATTGCCTGTAGTAACACCCCCCCCAAATAATCTTTTTAAGAGGCAAGGGCATGGACAAGCAAGTCCGAAGACTCTCCGTCATCTCAATCAAGTTTCTGGAAAGACAATTTTGATGGAAGTGATCCATCGATCCGTTCAGTCAAGTATGACATTATGTGCGAGAGTAGCACCGGTGGTCATGCATGCCACTTAGTAAAGCTGGGTACGTCGCACAGCGACGGGAGCCTGGTAAGCAGACGGATCGCCTCAATGATTCTCCATGTCCTTTTATAGAGGTAAAGGCTTGGGTAAGTCTGTAGACTCTTAGTCGCGTGACTCAAATTTCTGGAAAGACATATTGGCGGAAGCTATCCATCCGTTCGACACCGAGCATGAACTCCTGTGTCATTCATCAGGCAATCGCGCGCGCCATGGATTAGAGTAAGTAGATTTTACCGAGATATAAAGGGCTGATCATCATATTATAAGATGATTCTCTTTGGCAAAGCCTTTTATCTGTTGTATGATGCCAGAGCATGGACAAGTTTTGTTTATCTGCCCTTGTATGAACTCGACTTCGGGACTGCCAGCTTGAAAGAAGCGATCGAAAGCTACCCTTGTGGTTGTTCAGTGGAGTAAGTAGACCAAGCCTGGATTAGAAGGTTCTACCGGGCACTTCTAAGCGAGGTAAAGATCTCATCAAAGGCATTACCTCCTCGTAAGTAGACCATGCTGAAAGGGGTATGCCATGTATTTCCAGCGATCGCTCATCAGCTTGCCAGGTAGCTTCCGAATCCAGGAGACTAACTCGCAGTTCGAATTGAGATTAAACCTCATACGAGGCCATGTCGCGTACATCTTCGGGTATAGACTGTTTCGAAAGGCTGTGTGTCATGCATGTATTCCCCATCACTCATTCTCACCACTCCGTGGAGTAGGTACAGCCCCCACCCCCCAAGTCAAATCTAGTATATGGGGTTGAAGGGCAGCCAGTCGAGCTTATCAGTGGAATAATAATGCACGCCGGATGGTACGTCAATGCAATACCACAAAGCTTCAACTGAGATACACGCAGGCAGATTTCCACAGGCACCATCGTCATGATGGTTGCTTCATTAGAAACCTGCTTTAAGTTTGCAACCGGGTCATCTGCGTTTTTCTGAAGCTTCGGCGTGATAAAGTGGGAGAGATATTTCTATTGTTTCTTTCTTCTCCGCATCAAGAACGTTTGCCACTTTCTGTTGTACTCTTTGCCCTCAAAGTTAGGCGCTGCAGAGTGGAGCGAATGCCATCAACATTGGAATGGTTATCCCAGGTCGTAAAGTTAGTCTCCGTTGTGAGTAAGTTCCAAAGCTAACCACCATACGTTGGAGAAGCGAGTCCCAAGAGAATTATCTCAGCCTTGGAGACTTTATAGAAGTAAGACGATTGGTTCGGTCCACGTCATTTCGCAGTGATCGGGTGATACCACACTGCTATGTACAACAGCTAATGCTGCGTCGTTAAAAAGGCGCTGAGAAAGCCCAGTGTACCAACTTGTCACACATAACGGATGAGTTCGCGATTTTTCCCTTCGCAGTCAATTAAGCGGAGCTTATAACGCGTCCGTCCAAGTCACAGAAGACAAGTAATATGTGGAACGCCGTTTTGTAACCTTTGATCGCGTGTACCGATGGATCTTCAGACGATGAAGCCGCACAAGTGTCATCTGCGCATTGGCTATTTGTAGTTCTATATATCGCAGACCTGATTCCAGGATGACAAAGAGAGGAGAAAGAAGCATCCACCAGGCTGGCCAAAAACAGAATCGAGCAGCTGCCAAGCAGGTCGCTCTAACTTCCAAGTAACAATGATCGATTAAGCACACCGGCAAGGTGACTGGAGCGTAGACAAGCAGATAGGCCACTCGTTGAGACTTCGTCAATCTGAAACGCAGGCCCGAGTGGTTATTCTTTCTTTTGTTCTTTCTTCTTTTCCTTTTCCTTTTCCCTGTCTTTTTTCTTTTTTCTTCTTTTTCATTTTTTTAGGGGGCTGAACGAGCAGCAGTAAGCAGGAGAAACATTAAGGCAGTCAAACTACGACCTTGCTTAATGACTGGTTAAAGGACGTCAATATAGAAGGTTGGCTCCTTGCCCTTGTGGCTAGTCGTGATGGAAGAAGTAAAGATAATATTGACTAGCCAACGTGACTCGTGGATTCTGTGATTCATGAACCATCCTATTTTGTTCAGGACTTGGGTTCTGTGCAAATAGAGAACCTAGACCACTGCTCTTTAGTTTCTGGAGCCTTAAATTCCAAGAAGCGTTGATATATAGCGGGAGCAACGAGGTTTCGATTCTTTGACTTTCCAAATGGACTCGTTAGGCAATCACCGTTTCCCATTTGGATGCTAGACGGTTATGTTGCAATTGAGCCAATGTGACGGCGGATATTATACGGTAGGTATGGGAGATATAGATAGATGAGATAGTGACAAGCCGCTTCGTGAGACTGCGAGCTGAACACAGAGGAAGTGGAAGTGTTTAGGATGGTAGAGGAACAAGAGAGAGAAGAGAAGAGTAGAGATCCACCACTAGGCATACCTCAGCAGACAAGGGGGAAGAGGGATGTCCCACGGTCGGAAAGAACATCGCTCCAGATGAAACGAAGCAGTAGAGCCCGCGCATTTTGATTGTATTTTTGGAGACGCAATCGGCAAGAGGTATCAAAATTTGAAGCCACATGCTTTGGATCACCAGAGAAACGCTGGCTACGACGAAAACGCCAGTTTCGGACCATAACGGTAATAATCCTGGGCTTTAAGCTTCGTTACCCTGTTCAAGATTGGTCGGAACATAGCCCTTGTAGAGTAGTAGAAGACCATTCCGACATGGTGAGGTAAAGTAAGACCAGCCTTATCGACCTGGTCGGATGAGCTGTCATGATATTGTGTCCACTGTCGAGAGTGTAGACTATTGTTTCTTTGTCAAATATAAATCTGGTGCCTTCTCTCCGAGCAGGTGCCGGCCATGAACCCGAATAATAAGGTTCGTGGAGATTCTATTGGAACTGCATCATAGCCAACGCTATGGTAAACAAATCCGTCAATTGGCAGCAACTGAAGTGCGTGAGTTCGAGGAAAGGTATGTAACTGTGGCTTGGCAGGTTCTTGTATAACTGGAGCACTGCGTCGAATGAATTGTGCGCATGGTAGACCTAACCAGTCCTAGAATTTATCGAATACTTCACTGTCGTCGGAGGCCTCTTGGAAGTCTGTGGCAAGCTCAGTCATGAGCCACAGTCACTGCATTTTCACTTCCATGCAGGGTCCAGTAAGACTCCTGTCCAGATGATTTTTAGATTCGCTAGACGAGGCGAGCGATGCTTTAAGTGTGTTAAAGAGTGGAAGCATTTTGACCCCGTTCCCACCTATTATCTGCCCATTCAAGGTTGCATGTTGGGATAGAGCTTTGCTGAACTCGGGTTTGAATAGCACTGACTCAACCCCTTCCTGCATCAAACACCCTGATTCTTTGTGTAAGAGATTTTATGTTCGTCAACCTTGCCCTCCGGCACTTGGGAACTTGTGGTCGCTCATTCCATAGTGGATCCTGTATGCGCATAGTCCAAGGCAGATCATATATATATTTTTGTTTTCTTTTTTATTCTTCTCATAGCGGCCATGCGCCGCCGAGGGCTTCCTGATTGAACCCGTCAATCTTGCAATGCCGAGAAAGCTGCAACAGCTTTAGTACATTTTGAAACCAAAATCGCGGGATGTCTGTTTTCTTTCTTTCTTTCTTTTCTTTTTTTTTTTTTTTTTTTTTTTTTTTTTTTTTTTTTTTTTTTTTTTTTTCGGCGAGGAAGTGCACAGCAGAAGATATCTTCTACCTTATTATCTCATCGAGAGACATCATCTTTGTCAAGCACCGATGCTGGTTCTTCGTCTGCGGAAGAGCTTGAACGTTGATCTTTTTGGATCGAGGTTTGTTGGTGTGCTGACGGTCTTTTTTTCTTTTCTCCGCATTC